CTCGATGGTAGTCCTTCCGCAGGCACGGTGCAGGGGCCAAGTTGAACAGCTCGGTCAGCACCGGTTGGTGGTCCGAACTCAGGTCGTTGACGGCAACCGGCTTGGCTAATCCGGTGTTTGCCAAGAACAGGTCCAGCGTCGATGGGTTGCCCGCCGGTGATGTGAACGTTGGTTCGTCCGGAAACCAGACGGAATAGAGACCATGCTGGGAATGGTCGAATAGTAGGCGGCCGTTCTGGTTCTGTTGGTAGTTTCGCCAGGCCTCGTGCCGGGCGTTCAGGTCCCCTCCTATTACGAAGCGGGCATTGGTGTGGGTTATGATGGCAAGGTCGTTCTTGAACTGCTGTGCTGTACCATTGCTAACGGTACATTGCCGTAGTAGGCAGCGATGAACCGGACGTTTCTGGTCGATGTTTCCACCTCTACGCCGACGGCCTCGATGATGGAAGTGCGGTAGTGGGGAAGGGTGCAGTACTTGATGCCTTTCTTGATGATGACCGCGACACCGCCCCCCCCCCCCTGGAGCTGCTGCGTTCAAGCCGGACAATGCTGTGGTCGGGCAGCCAGAAGCTGTCACCGGTCTTGAGGTGGGTCTCGGTGAGAAGGCCCACGTCGATGTCGTGCTTGCGAAGGAAGTCTGCAAGCTCAATGTTTTTCGCCCCTACGGAGCGAGCGTTCCAGTTGGCGATCTTAATGGCTTCACGGTCCATAATTAGCGACGAAGGAGATGATAGCTTGGAGCTGTTGTGTTCTTGTAGCGCAGGTGCGCTTTATGATGATGGCCTGGGCCAGCAGTGTGACGATCTCATCCGTTGACAGCGGAGAATCGTGTGAAGCTTCGCCGGTTGTACCGGCCAATCCCGGAGCAGGGGGATCCGTCGATGGCCCGGAGGCTTGACCGGGTACTGCAGTGGCAGCCGACTGGGCAGCAGCCAACTGTTGATTGAGCGGAAGCGGCGCCAACACTGGAATTGGCCTTGATTGGACCGGTGATAACGGAGGAAAGTTCTGCGCGTTGTTTTCCGGAACCTTCTTGCGACCGGGCTGGTTGTTGGACGAGGCCTTCTTCCGGATCTCGGCATATTCGGCCCGCTTCGGACAGGCCTTACTCGTGGCCTTGTGGGCGGCACCGCAGTTGGCGCATGTGGGAGCGGCTTCCTCGATGCTGTCGCAGTTGTCGATCTTGTGGTTTTTGCCGCAGCTGGCCATGTGGCAGTTCCTGGTGCCGTGCCCGAACAATAGGCAGTTCGAGCTCTGAGTGACGCCACGGTGGGTTGGCTTATACCACTCCCAATTCACTACGATGTGGAACAGTGTGCGTGTCGTCTGGAGATCCTTCACGGTTGTGGAGTTCTTCTCCAGATGGACCAGGTAGAGCTGGTCACGATACTTGATGGCCTTGCTGCGGGTCGTCTTGTGGATTTCGACCGCCTTGAGGCCGTTCGTCTTAATCTCGTTCATTAAGGTGGTGGAGTCCATGTCGTGAAGCCCGCGCAGCACCACTTTCAGCGGCTTGGTGGCCTCGACGTCGTGGGAGAAGTACTCCAACTTCATCCTGTCCAAGAGGGCCTGGACTACGTTGTAGTGTTTTTCGGCCGGGACCATCAGTTTGTACCCTTCCGTGCACCGTTGAATGGTGCAACGAGGGCCCTCCTTAATGTAGTAATCCAGCTGCTCCCATAGCCCGGGAGGGAAGCCCTTCACATAGAAGGGTGGCAACTTCACTTTTTTCGGCACCGTCTCAGGGTCCGACTGTGGCTGGGCTCCGTTCTGCAGGGCGGAGAACGGATTGTTGCTCAGCAGCTTTTTTGCTGCCGATGCGGTGGCGCTGCTGTCTTCAGGTCTGGGTCGTTTAGTTCCGGGAGGCCCCGGCTGCGGGTCCGCAACGCCCGTCGGGACGGGCAATGAGGTTTTCTTTTGCTTCTTCTGGGCTGGCTCGGTGGTCGCGCCGTCTCCTGGGAGAGTCTGTTTTCCCGGTAAACCGGCACTCGCGTTACCGCGCGATTTCTTACCCCATGGCTGGGTCAGCGAGAGCGTCACTACACAACGCGGAGCTAATTCGATTTGCGAACGAACGAACGAACGAAACGAGAGAGAATAAAAATCGACTGAACTGCTCAACAGTCTGGCAGCGAATGAGGTGATGCTAGACAGCAGTGTTGTTTTATATCTTTTCAGCAGAATGATGTGCAACCAAGTGGTATAAAAATTACAAAGACTCCTCCCATTATGAGTAGTTTGCTATCAAGTAGTGACACTGGCTCCTTTCTTCTGCGTAGTTTGCCAATGGCAACACCTTGAAAGTTAGCGGCGCCGGTGGTGTAGTGGTAAGCGTGATTACCTCTCATCCCAGTAGGCCTGGGTTCAATCTCAGTCGGCGCCACCGGTATGTTCTAAGGCATAACATCTCTAATCACGGCTTCCTTCGGGAAGTAAAGCCGTTGGTCCCCGGTTGAGTTGATGGGTCGATAGGTAGAGTCCAGGTGTGGGAGCTGCCTCCCTGCCGTCAGTAGCATTGGTGCTCAGCACGGAAAACAAATCTCGCCTTACTTTTAAATAGGTTCTATCTACATTGATCGATTCTCTTCATCGACTCTCTTTCGTAAATCACTCGGCTTCAGAAATGGCCATCTTCGTCGAATTAGATGCTAGATTGTTGCTTCTTCCATCGAAAATATGCAGTCGTGACGATTCAAAGGAAAAGTTGATGAAGAGATCGATCAAAGTCATTTGTCCTAGTAAGGTTACATGGGCATTTTGTGTGGTCGTTGGGGGCGTATGGTTCTGAATATGGACAAACAGGCAGATGAATTCTATTCTTCCTATTCTATTCATGGTGGCCCTGAAAAGAACCGTTTTGTTTCCAAAGTTGGTGGTGATTTAACCTCCGAAACCGTACGGAGTGCGTCTCTGTCGCTTCAAAGCGTAGATGACATCCATGGCCGCTTACGCTTGGCGTGTTTAGTGTAGGTGACAGCATCACGGATCTCATTTTCCAGGAACACCTTCAGCACACCTCGTAGATCAGATCGGATATACGTTTGACACCGCCACGGCGAGCCAGACGACGGATGGTGGTTATCTCGAAGAGCTTTGCGATGACGCTTGGCACCTTTTCCTCCTTTGCCACGACCAGTCACTTGTTGCTTGTTGCCGTTCGCCGTCCGAAGCGAAAATGGGCTGTTGCCATACAGCAGCGCTGCTTTATGTCATTTTTATCATATTTTTCAGATTAAAGCAGAATGATGTGCAACCAAGTGGTACTCGATTATGAAGACTGAGTTTGGGATGAACGTTTAACAGTTATAACATTATCACTTTTTATTTGTACATTGGACAACTTTTTCAATAGCTTCTCACTAAAAATCATCAGTCCCAAGCATTTCTATAGATGCGTAGAAATATTTCTGATCCATTGATGATTCACTTATTGAAATTGATCTAGGAGCAGCTGAGTTATTAATGTTCAAAATCTTTCATAATTTTGTTTCATGTTCCATTTTCGGTTTTCACAAAGTGTACCCCCAGTGTAGAAATGAAAGACGTAGTCCTACGTCAAAAATTTCGACCACTATGGCTAAGGTTCCAGGCTGGGACTCTCAGCTAGATGTATCAAAGTTAATCTAATCTAATCTAATCTAATACAATACAAACGCAGCCAGTACGAGAAAGCATCCTGGAAAATGATTAGGTTAGATGAGGTCTAATCATTTTTCTTGTCTAATTGATGTTTACAGTATATATGAGATATGATATAAACATCAATACTGCGTTGTATTTGCATTTTTTTAGGTTAGCCAGAGGAAAATGATGAACAACTTTACACGGCGTTGCTTCCGCTAGTGGGCGTGCGTTAAACGTCACTAATCTCTTTTGAGATTTTCACGGCCGGTTGTATTGGTGCGATATGTGAGAGCGTGTTAGTGAATATCCGAGGAAAATACATAACAAATCGATGTCAAACTCATTTTGACAGGTCTACTTTCATACATTTTTTTAGGTTAGCCAGATGAAAATGATAAACAACTTTACACGGCGTTGCTTCCGCTAGTGTGCGTGCGCTAAACGTCACTAATCTCTATAGGAAATATTACTGAATAACAACGCTCTTGATTGGCTTCTAACCGACTTGAAAATACTAGTTAAAAAATCCTTTGAGAAGCCCCCTGTCGAACTAGTCGAAAAAAGAATACCCACAATCTTTGTGTGAAGAAACGGTGGCTTGCTGGAGGAATGAAGAGATAAGACAAAGTCCGCTGGATTTCATGCATAGATTGTCAGATGCTTATGGGATTTTACCAGGAGTAAGAGTTGCAGAGTCGCCGTCAACGTCAATGCTTACTTTCATAAGGGCCAATGCAGCAAACGTAAACAATTACTTTTTGCGTGAATTTCTTGAAAATGAAAACTCACTCAAGAAAACCAACACCATGATTGTGTACAGAAAGAGTCCTCCTATCCGATAAAATTAGTGGCTTACTTGAATTGACTTTGACGTACCAGACATTTACGAAAGAAGCCATTATTTATGTTTTCGACATTGGTCCTAATGAATGCTCAGTGTCGATATCACGAAAATTTTATTTTGACAGATCGATGTCCAACTATGCCAGCTATACCACTGAGGCAAAACAAAAAAGGGGTCAGCTTTGAGTCAGCTTTTTGCATGAAGTTCCACATAAGTTATGTGTTAACACTTTAGTGGCGGGGGAGCAAATGGGAGCACATTCCCAGCAAAAATCGTACTTGCATTGACTGTTAGAGCGTGCGAAGAATGTTATTATAAGTGTTATATATGTTTGTCTGTGATACTATTATACTACTAATATAACTTTCCAAAAGGTGATTGTTTTAATAATCCAGAGAGTGGCTATTCGACCTCGGATGGCCGTCTTCCCGTCCATTGTCCCTAACAGTATTTTTTTTTCATTAATATTTTTTTAATAAATAAAACAAAGATCATACGAACTAATCGATTCTTGTCTCTATTATCATTACAGGTCGCAATCAACAAGGCACATTTGCAACGTAGTCACGGAGCACTATGATTGTCAGATTAACAATGTGCATTTAAAAAACGGAGAATTCCATGATTTCGGGCTGGAGCATAATCCTCAACAAAAATTGACATTTCGAGACTCCACATTAGAGTATCTTCCCAAATCATTGATCGATGCGTTCCCTCGTGTGACCCTCCTGAATCTCAACAGTCTTATCATTACCTCGATCCAACAAAATGCATTTGAAAGGGCAGCAAACCTTCAAACGATGTATCTTGAAAATAATCGTCTAACTCGTATTAATCCTAGCGCATTTAGAGGGGCGAATAATTTACAAACACTGGTGCTGTCAAAAAATGAAATAACATCAATCGATTATTCGCCTCCTAATTTGAAATTTCTTTACTTGGATCAAAATCAATTGGATTCGTTACCAGCGTTCACTGCTTATCTACAATTTTTGAATGCATCACATAACAACATTGCGTCAATCAATGATAATCACTTCCGCAATCAAAGACACCTCAAAACACTAGATTTGTCATTCAACCGACTGAAGCGATTGAATTTGCAACAACTTGTTGCTAACCTTGATCTAGTCAATGTGAGCTTCAACGACTTGACGGATTTTATCATGCCACCACATGTGACCCGTTTAGATGCCAGAAATAATTCCCTAACGGAATTCGTAGTAGGCCAACAGTGCACCCTTGTAAATTTAATCCTCGCCCGGAACAAACTCGATACAACACCAGAGCTGCAAACTTGTCTTTCAATGGAATATTTGGATCTGTCTAACAATTTGTTGGAAGTATTTGGATTTCGACCATGGATGGCAAATTTACAATATCTTATTTTGGCGCATAATAATTTGTTTGAAATGCATACAAATAAAATTCCCCCAAAACCATTCAGTTTAAAAGTACTTGAATTATCTCATAACAAACTTTCTTACGGACCTTCTTTAAACGTATTTAAGAAGCTGGAATGGGTGGGCTTAAACGATAACAATCTTATTTCATTGAAGTCTTATGTAAATAGATCACACACCCATAGCCTTCAATATCGAATGTCAAATAATGAGTGGAGCTGCAGCGAAATTAAAAAGTTTGAAAGCTCGACTGTCGATAAAAATAAGAACCTATGTGCAGCGGAGATGCGGAATGAAAATGGCATTTGCTGTAGAACTTACTTAAAGCCATACAACGATCGATTGAACCAGATCTTGCGGGAAGCTGACTTCCATGAACGTGCAAATCAGAAAAAATGCCCGAAACCAGTATCAACTACTAGCAATCAAATAACCGATGAAGTTCGAAATGCAATCGCCAGTGCTAATGCTGAAAATGCTGACAAACTTAGGGAGATTGAGAACGCTAGGATTCTGGCAAATAAATGGCAAAAAGCATTGGAAGAGGAAAAAGCTAAACGAAATCGTCTCAACAGTTCTAAGCGCAATGTGGCTAATGAAATTGAGAAGCAGCGACAATTCCATCGCGTGACAAAGGAAGGATTGATATCAAATAAGGAAATGTTAGAGCGGATCATCAAATTCGTTCAGGAGAAAGACACATTTAACAGAGGCCTACTGTCAAGGCGTCAACAAGATACCGAAGATGCAAACCGTTTGCTTGGCGAAAAGCAGCAGGAAATTAGTGAACTGAAAGACATAATCTCAAATCTGCAGAGAATGCACACGGCATTGAAAAAGGAAGAGAAAGCCAAGAAGCAGGAGAAGGACATGCTCGAGAAGAAAGTTAACAAAAATGCAGCATCCATTCATGGGGGCTCGGGGAAAATATCCTAGTGAAAGCTCATGAATTTATTCAACACATAATAAAATGTCAAAACAAATTCAACTGTTTTTACCTAACGAATATCACATAAATCTCGGATTAGTTAGATAACGCGAAGGAGCTTGGGATTGAACCCACGACCTTCTGCTCAGTAAGCAAAAACGTTTGCCAATAGGCATACGAGCTCTTTTTTAATCATCGAGTAGTTGTTATTACCAAACAAATAAAGCGATTGACGAATTTTGAATGTGAATGGGCCTGAGATTAGAATGATGATGTTCTGCTTAGTAAGCAAAAACGATCGTTCTAAGGTCACCGAGCCTCTCATTTCACATCATAGCTTCACTCGAGTTTTTTTTTGTTTATTAATTTATTTGATAAGGCTCATCCGAATTAACTTTACAGATCCGAGGATTCTTGGTAACTATACAATACATCTTAATACTATAGTCAAAAGGTACAACACAATAAACACTTTATCTTCCACTATCCAAAAAGCCTCCTCCATCAGAACTGGAGCCGCTTCTAGTAGTTTCATTGTATGGCAAATTGTTGTACGCCAACGAGGGCCACTTGCCAAATAATGTATTTCTAGGCAATCTTTGAAAGTTTCTGCTTCCTTACTTCCTCGGGGACATCAAACTTGTGCTGGACGTATTTTGCCATTCGTCACGATTTGGAGCCTTCTGCACTTTGTACATATGCAGTCCCTCCCGGTCCTTGGCTCTCTGAACGAAAGACTTACTTACTTACTTAAGGGTCCTGTGCACAACCAGCGGTGCAAAGGGCCAACGTGAAAAACTTCCATCCTGGACGGCTGCTCGCTTTTGCCTTGACCTGGGTGCAGGTCAGATTCCTATCGACTTGCTTAATTTCCTTATTGAGGCTCCGCCGCCATGAGCCGCTGGGTCTGCCTCTGCTGCGATGTCCTGCTGGATTCCAATCCAGCGCTTGCTTGCAAATTTCGTTTCCGCCCCATCGAAGTGTGTGGCCGACCTACCTCCACTATCGCTCTCGAGTTTCTGTTGCTGTCGGCTTCTGATGACATCGACAATGGAGCTCGGCATTCGAGATCCAGTTGTGAGGCCACCAGGCACGAATTATATACCGCAGGCATCGGTTGATGAGGACCTGCAGCTTTTGAGTGTTCTCCGCTGATACACACTACGTCTCGCTGGCGTATAACAACACAGATTTCACGTTCGAGTTGAAAATTCGGATTTTGGTGTGTTTACTTATCTGGTTGGATCTCCATACGTTTCGTAATTTCGCAAAGGCAGCCCTAGCCTTCTTGATTCGTGCACTTATATCGCTCTTGGTCCCGCCGTCCGACGCTATTTGGCTGCCAAGATGTTGGAAACTTTCGACCTTCTCCACTGCTTGCCCCGCTACCGTAAATTTGGAAGGGTTGCCCGTGTTGATATCCAACGATTTGGTCTTGTTGACGTTGATGGTGAGACCCGCCGCAGAGGAGCGTTCGGCAAGGTCATTGAGCTTACTCTGCATATCAGAGCACCGTTGTGCTAGTAGAGCAACATCATCAGCCAAAGCAGCCCACGGTTCGGTACACGGTCAATTGCACCTACCATGATCTCGTCGATTACGATGAGAAACAGTAGCGGTGATAGTATACATCCTTGTTTCACACCAGCGACTACCCGGATAGGGTCGGAGAAGGCTCCGTTATGCAGAACTCTACACGTGAAAGCCTCATACTGCGCTTCGATGAGGTTGACGATTTTATCCGGGACTCCCTTGCGTCTCAGGGCGCCCCACAGATTCTCGTGATTGAGACGGTCGAAAGCAGTCAAGTAGTCAATGAATACCAAATAAAGGGACTCTTGGAATTCAATTCCTGCTCCAGGATGATGCGGAGCGTGACAATATGGTCCACACAAGATCTTCCGGCACGGAATCCTGCCTGCTGCCGTCGGAGAGTCGCGTCGATCTTCTCCTGTATCCGATTCAGGATAACTTTGCACAGAACTTTGAGAACAATACACAGTAACATGATGCCTCGCCAATTGTCGCACACAGTCAGATCCGAGGGGGACGACACATCTAAATCTCAATTCTAGGTGCTCAACAAATCTCACACTAGCTAACCAATCTTCGAAAAATCTTCTTTAATTTCTCGCATCTACTTGCATCGTGCATCATCTTTTTGCAAGAAATCTTCAGAATCGTCATAAATCTTCTTACTATCTACTCAGCGTGCGCGCAGCTAACCACAGCAAAAAACAATTTTTCCTTCATCGTAGATAGAGTCGCCCCCCTCGGTCAGATCCCCCTTCTTTGGAACCTTCACTAAGATGCTTTGCATCCAGTCGGCCGAAAAAGTCACGGTGTCCCAGATATTACAGAAAAGTTGATGCAACATTTGTGTGGATAGCATGGGGTCAGCTTTGAGCATCTCTGCTGATATGCGATCGACCCCTGTAGCCTTTTTGTATTTAATGCAAGGATACTGCAGCCTTGTTGGATTTCATGCTTCGGATAGCTTCTCTACGCTCCTCAATCTTCCGCCAGGTTTCATCTGTGATCCACTCTTTCCTCTGGGTGCGCAGCTCACCCAAGTTGTTCTCGCTTGTTTCTATAAAGGCATTCTTGATGGCCGTCCATTGTTCTTCTACGCTGCCACCTTCTGGAACGTCCGCAGCTCGAGTCTCAAGTTTTTAAACAAAAAACCTTTTTACCGCTGGATCTTCAAGTCGGCGTGTGTTGAACCGCCGCCCGAGTCTCTCCTCCCGTCGCTAGATCCGCGCCATGCGTAGGCGGATTTCGCCGATTAGAAGGTGATGGTCAGACGCGATGTCGGCGCTGCGTTTATTCCGGACATCAAGAAGGCTCCGTCTCCATTTTCGGCTGATGCAGATGTGGTCGATCTGATTTTCGGTATGTCCATCACGGGAAACCCACGTGACTTTGTGCACTGGCCGATGGGGGAAGAGCGAGCCCCCGAACACCATGTCGTTATAGCCACAAAATTCTGCAAACAGCTCACCGTTCTCGCTCATTTCGCCGAGTCCATGGCGTCCCATGACACGCTCATAGTCCGTGTTGTCGGAGCCGATCTTCGCATTGAAGTCGCTAGTGTGGATCTTGATGTCACCCTTTGGAACCTTATCCACGACGGCATTCAGTTGACTGTAAAAATTCTCCTTGTCCTGTAGCTCGGCAGCATCGGTTGGCGCATAACATTGGATTATGGTAAGGTTACGAACCCGTGTTCTAAATCTGGTAACGATTATCCTCTCATTAACAGGCTCCCACTTGATGAGCGCAGCACTTGACTGGACGCTAAGTAGGAGACCAACTCCACGATGGCGGGGAGCGTTTTCACCTCGAATACCAGAGTATAGTAGTACCTGTCCCGACGACAGTTTGTGTTCTCCAAAGTTTGGCCAACGAACTTCACTCAGTCCCATGATTTCTAGCTTTATGCGTCGCGCCTCGTTGGCGAGTTGTGCCAGTTGACCCTGCTGGGCGTTCCATGATCCAATTCGTGTCCGTTGTTTTGCGCTAAAACTCGTTGCCGTTAAATCAGTTCGATGTCTTTCTCTGTTGGTTTCCGTAACAATTGTAAAGGTTTCAGAGACAGTAGGTGGTTGGCCTAAGGTCTCCTATCCGCCGTGATGGGGCTGCCATCTTAGATGTAGCTTCCGGGGAATAGCATTTCTTATGCAGCCTGCTGGATGCCAGTCAGACGCTGTTTGAGCCGCACCTCCATGATGAACAGACGCTCGGGTTGGCGAAGCATTTCCTCTATCACCGTGCTATGGTTACCGCGCCAGTGTTCCTGTCGCACCTCCTCATTCTGCTATTGTCGGATTGACAACATTGCCCAGGCTACGCCAACCAGCTGTGTCCATGTTTCAGCTGGCAGTCTTTTGTGATCATATGACTCGTGGAGGCGTGAGGTAGGAACTTGTGAGGACCGAAGCTAGGTATATCGCTCCTACCAGATTGTCACTCACCATTTTGTAGCCCGAACGAAAGACTTGGACAGATTTAATTTTTTGACCACATCCCTGACCGAAGCATTGGGATTCCGCTTTCAAGACACGCTTGTGATCCTGATCACTAATAGAACATCCATTCTAACCGCATTTCTCCCTTCCGTTCGATGCTCACACGACTCACCGTTGACTGCACGATTCCGAGTTGTTTTCCGATGTCCCGATGAGAGAGTTGAGGATTTTCCAGGTGCTTGCGGAAAATCAATTCGCGACGTTGCTTTTCGAGTGACGCCATTTTTTTTTTTCCAAAAAATGGAAAGACTGACAGCGATAAAAATACACTGTAAACAATACACTTTAAACAAATACAGCGTTTTTTCCGTGATGCAATTTGATGTGGGACACCCTTTAGAGAAGACAATGTTAGCCTCCCACCCCGAGTTCAGATTGACGTTGAAGAAATCGAGGTGGTCGACGAGTTCGTGTCTTTGTGCTCACTGGTGACCGCCGAAAATGATACCAGCAGAGACATTCAAAGACGCATTATGGCGTACCTACTTTGGACTCCGGAGGACGCTCCGGACGAATAAAATTCGCCGCCGCACGAAGATGACTATCCACAAGACCCTGGTTAGACCGGTGGTCCTCTACGGCAACGAGACCTTGACTATGATCGTGGAGGACCACGATGGTGGTGGTGGTGTTTTCGAACGGAACGTGTTGCATACCATCTACAGTGGAGTGCACTGCCTTTAATCGCATATCAGTCCCATTGTTGCTTGATTTCCTATCCATATGGGACTGTTATGCGATTATGGGTAGTGCAATTCCCATGTAAATATTTGAAAAATCTTAGTCAATTTATTGATCATTTATTCAATTTAAAATCTGTTGTAATGAAGCCTGATTTGAAAAGCAAAACTTGAACTTGAATTATGGACGTTTGCATTTCAGGATGGGACTGATACGTGATTATTTTGCTTGATGGGACAAACTGACTTGATGTTGTTTTCACATTTTTCACTATCAAAATCCAAAGTTTTATCACATAATATGATAGTAGATGCCAAATGATAGTTGATAGCATTGTTATCTCAAAATTGATGAAAATCTATATGGGAATGATATGCGATTATAGGCAGTGCATATGGATGACGGAACGTGGAGGAGGCGAATAAACCACGAATTGCATCACCTGCTGGGAGAACCATCCATCGTCCACATTGCAAAAATTGGGCAACTATGGTGGGTTGGGCACGGAAAATGGTTCTCGAAAGCGACCCAACAGGAACAAGAAGAAGAGGCGCGCAGCGGGCAAGGTGAATCGACCAAGTAGAAAGCAACCTGCGGACCCTTCGCAGACTACGAACAGTTGCTTTTCTCGATGATTTCTAGGGTTTCAAAGCAGCATTTGTGTAGGCGAGCCTTAACTTTTTAAGAAATCATCGATAGAAGTCATTGTTTACAAAAGCTGTTATGCCCCAATTACAGCTCTATCTAGAATTGTGACCCTACCATTGGGATTTCTTCAGCACAAGTCGATCTTCAAATACGAGTCTTATACCTTGTACAAACATACCGAGTAGTACCTCTGTACTCCATTAAGCATCCCAATCGACGTAGATTAAATGAGTACAGCGGTGCTACTGTGCATGTCGGTCATAAGTATTATATTATAATCATAACCGATTTGTAGTACGTCTATTCTACTACTGTAAAAAGTTTAAATAAAACATCCACTAACTTAACTAAATTACCTACTATGTACACACAAATCCGCAGAGTCCGCCTGCCTAGAGAAAATCCTCTTTTCCATCCGTATTGACAAACTGAATGGAATATTGAATGAACTTGACATCCTCGTCTTCTTCCTCCTCCACGATATCCGAAGGGGCGCTCCGTTCTTCCAGGATAATGCTTTCGGCATTGATAGCTGAGTTCCGTTGGAATGATTGCAACAGTACTGAAAAGGAAAATCAATACACTTTGTAGAACAATCGATCAGTTGTCAACGCGGAACCGCGTCTTACTTGACTCTCCCCGGTGGTTGGTCTTGATGTGCGTTGCCAGGGCACTATTCGATGCAAACGATTTCGGACAGTCCATACAACCGAAAGGCCGCTCTTTGGTGTGCGTGCGGATGTGAACTTGCAGCGTGGAAGGTCGATCGAACGATTTGTTGCAGTACTCACAGACGAACAACCTTGGCTGGATGTTTCGCACGTGAATGTTGTGCTTCTTGCCGAGGTGGACCTCCAGATTGACCTACGGTGGACAAATTATGTTGTGGTATAAGTTTTAACAAAATTAAACCTCCTTCGAAGAGGATTACCTTCTGCGAAAATGACGTATCACATTGCGGGCATTTGAACGGTTTCTCCTGTGTGTGCACGCGCGCATGCTTGTCAAGTAAACTTTTGTACAGAAACTGCTTCGGACAGCTGGCACAGACAAACACCTTGGGATGCATTTTCCGTTTGTGCTTCTTTAGCAGCCTTTCCGTTTTGAACGTCTTCAGGCAAACCGTACAGCGGTACAATCCATCATCTACGGTAATCGTATCATCATCACCCTGCACGATCAGCTCAGCGTTCTCGTTCTGAGCAATCATATCGATACTCTCCTGGAGGGATATTTCGTTCTTGTGCTGCGATTTGATGTGCTCGTAATAGTTGGTAATATCGGCGAATCGATCCGTGCAAAGCGTGCAAGCGTGAGGATACTTCTTCCAGTGGGTTTTCAAATGAATTTTCAGTTCGCTCAATCGAATGCATTTCTTTCCGCAAACGGAGCAGGTATACTTCTTGAGTGGTTCTTCTCCAGTGTGCTTTCGCAGATGGATTGAGAGGTTAATCTTTTGGGAAAAACTGAAATGACCGAATGACCTGAGTAAGTTGGATTAAACAACAGCAGCAAATTTGGGATACCTTTTACCGCAGGTGCCACAAACGTGGGGCTTCAAACCGGTGTGCACAAACAAATGTTTCTTAAGAGCACTTTCGTAAGGGAAACCTTTATTGCAGTACGTGCAAAAATGTTTCTGAAATTTAAACATTAGCATACCTTCAAAATATTGAACAAATTCGAACAAACTTACATCCACTCTTTTCTCCTTTGAATTCGAAGGGAACGAATCTTCCAGCATTTCAACCGTGCCATAATCAGTGATGTTATCCCTTTCGATTACAGATTCATCGTCCAATGCTTCCATCATTAGTTGACTGCTTTCATCGTGCATTTCTTCCTTCACCAGAACATACTCCTGACCATCAGCATCGGTCACCTCCGAGGTGGTTATCACGCTACCCTCCTCGATCAAACTATCCATTCCCACCTCCGTCGGAGTTTCTTCCACAAACAGCCTATCGCAGTCGTCTTCTTGCTGAAGCTGTTCCTCTGCCTCCTCTAAACTAAAATTATCCGAAACGACCAATTCGAACTCATTCTCTGCTTCCGCCACATCCTCTACCTCTTGTAGTTGTTCCTCTTCGATTTCATCCAACGGTGAGACATTATCTTCCCGGTTAATTTTCATCGGTAGCTGCATCGAATGACAATCCAAAGTGCTAACCCGTTCAATCAACTCATCATCTGATTCATCTTCCGACTGCAGGAAATAGTACTTTCCATCGGCATACTCAATTCCGATGGCCTTCGTCGGTTGGGCTAACTCAATTTCCGATGGTGTCAGCAGTCCGTTGTTCGGTACAAATGCAGCTTCTTCCGGAACTGATAAATCTGTCCCAGCCTGAAAGATCCCCATTTCGTCTGGAGCCGAAATCAGGTTGCTCTCATCATCCACTAGATCGCTGGTATCGACAAAATCTTGTAGCAAAGGATTTGTATCATCTACCGGGTGTGGCAGTAACGATTCTGGTGGAACCGATAGGGGGAAAATAGTGGGAACGGCAGTCGGCAGCAGGAATCGATAACCATGCACGGGATGCCTTCCGAAAGCTTCATCGGCAAAGTGGCAACTGCAGATCTTGGTGCTCAGGGTTACTTCCGAGCCAGGGAATAGCGCATCGTTGACGGTAAGAATGTTGAGCCATTCAGTGCGGAACGAAACATCCGTTGGGAAACTGTAAGAATATTTTGAGACAAAAAAAAAAACATGCAATCAAGGAATCAACCCTAGAAAAGATCAGACTCTTACCTGACGAAGAAAACGGATGTGCAGTTTACGACGTTTTCGTCCGTGTCGCAATTTCTAATGCAACAGCGAATCATCCCGCAAACTTTATCGATTTGTGTGGATTCTTTGCATGGGAAAATTTTCAAAAATACACGAAAATTTTAGAATCTGGACGCAATAAACTTGTTTTCATAATTTTCTTTTGTTGATATTATTGATGTTTACCTTTTACGTCATCAGACACTGGGTGCTGTCAAAGTGCTGGCAGTCATCGTGTAGGGGCTAGCCGATTTTTTTGTAAGCCACGCAAATCATCGATTTGATGCAAGATTTGATGCCATCTATTTCTCAAAGTGCGAACTATAACGGGTGGCAACTAAAATTTTGGAATTTCTTTCTCAAGCTGTCAAAAAAAGACAAACATACTTGAAGAAGATCTGATTTATTGAATTTAAAGATACATTGTCCATTGTTGAAAAAAAATTAGTGAACATTTGAAAACGGTCCGTAATCGGATGTTCGGCGAAGCTTCCGTTTGATGTCGGAACAGGAGCGTTGTACCAACAATCAATACGAAACTAACGATTTTAAATTGGCTCACCACTTTAGTAGCCTATTGGTCCCACACGGTGTTTCGCGAAAACCCATTAATGGGTATAAAAACACCCATTTCCGCTAAAAGTGCCCCTCCTCATTTAATAGGTAAACTATGGTTTACTTATTAATGGGTAAATGGGGTATCTGTCAATAAATGGGTGTTTTTTTACCCATCTTCTTAAATTGTGTTTTTCGTAAAATGGGTAAAAAATACCCATTTCTTCAAATGGAGGATGCTGGTGCTGGGTTATTTGTCCTCGTGGATATAAAAAACTTTCTAATATTTACATTGAAAATAAATACAGTTTAGCGAAAAAAAATATTACACGAGATATTATAATATCATATTGGATAACACTGTATAGACTTATCCGTAAGTCTCGCCAATGTTTCGGAATCTAACCTTTTCCAGAGATCGTCCATTTTTGCTTAAAAAAAGCGGACGGAAACTGTTTACATTTCCAATGGTCGGTGACGGAATGAGACGAAAAAAATTCCAAGTGTTTTTTCACCCATTAGTGGGTAAAAAATATACCCATTATGCAATCGTGAACTGATTCTTTAAATGGGTATTTTTTCACCCATTTTATGATTTCCAAATTCCCCCATTTTTTGACAGCTGCATACATGGTTTGAAAATGGGTATTTTTTACCCATAAATGGGTTTTCACGAAACACCGTGCAAGCAAACGATTAACGTACCCTATTCTAGTCAAAATTCTAGTACTACGCAATGTTTGTTTTGATTCGCTATGAAAGTTTGACAGATAAAATGAGGGGTTATTGGTTTTACCTATGTTTCGAGGGGTGATTCAACAAGCTTGGGACCAAAGATAGTACCAGAGGTGAGCCAAAAAGTTGAGCACGTTTCTTCGGGACCTACTTGTCTTAGAGTTACCTCTATGGTTGTACCATAGAGGTAACTCTAAGACTAGAAGGTCCCGAAATAACGTGCTCAACTTTTTGGCTCAGCTCTGGTACTCTCTTCGGTCCCAAGCTAATCGATTCACCCCTCGAAACATAAGAAAAACCAATAACCCCTCATTTTATCTGTCAAACTTTCATAGCGAATCAAAACAAACATTGCGTAGTACTATAATTTCGACTAGAATGGGGAACGTTAATCGTTTGCTTGGGACCAATTGGAAGATTGCCGCAAAAGCTCAACGCAGATGTCACCACTGCATGATGATGATAATGTTGACAGACTGCATATAAAATTCGTGAAAATTAGCATTAAATCATAATTTTCATCAAGCCTACGTGAAATCCTTCCAATATAACATGCGAATTGAAGATAAAAACGTTTTTACGATCAGACTGATGTGCATCTTTGACTTTTCCAGGTGAACTTTCATAAGATATATTCATTTCATTTCATGGCTCCATCAATGCTGCATCGTAAATATGATGGTAAACAGAAGTAAATTGCTCAATTACTCAAAATAAAGATGATTTGTCATCTTGTTTTCACTTTGAAGACCATCTAGCACCATTTTATAGCATGGTGCGTGTTGAGTAAATCAAGTTCCGGTGCGTTTTCCGTCGAAAATTGTGAGTATCAATATGTTTGCTAAAATGAACATTTATTTAATATTGGCGTCCTATACAACCAATTCTCTATTACCACCAGCATGATACAACCTTTCCTAAGCAAATTCACTTAATGTCCACTTTCATCTTAGTGAAAATCGCACATATTTACCATTTTCTGAAAAATGCAGCTGCGCAGGAGGTAACCTCTCCCTGTGGGTGCAAACTTGTTATGCATAATTTGCCATGAAAACATCTCCGATCCATACCGAAATAATAACAAATAGTTTTCAAACACGTTTTCTTACACGATTCAAGCAAAAGTTTCCACGGAAAATTATTAGTTTTTCTTTATGGACCGATCTGCCCCAAAAATCGTCTGTTTTACTTGGAAAAATTGGAAACTATCCTCCCTCTAGTAGTTCTCACTTCGAAATGTAGGAGGCGAAAGCTTGGAAAAGTTTCACTGCAAGACGCCAATACATAAACGAAGCTCTGGTCGACATTTCAGCGAAAAAGTTAAGCCAACCCTACATCGACCTGACCTCTATCAAACCCCAAACCCGATGTTGACCCAACATAAACCCAAAGTTGACCCGACAACAACACGACACTGGGTCGAAATCGAACTTAAATTTGCCTTACATTGATCCGAAATCGGATCAACTTGTCTGTTCGGGACCATTATACTGGGTTTCTTACACGGTAAGAAAAAAGTACCCAACGGCCAGTTCACTTTTACCTACTTTTGACTAGTTTGTCTCCTTTTCTCCTTCTAATGTTGTCAAAAACGGAAGAGCAAAACCACCCAACAGGGGTAGTAAAGTGTGGGAACCCAACGTTGAGTATAATCATATTTACCTACTTTTGGGTACAACTAACTTACTTTTGGGTAGAAAGCGAGTGGAAAATTCCATACGAATTGCACACAAGTAAATGAAAACTACTTTGACCCGCTTTACCTACTTTTCGGTTCCTGCACTATACTGCCGAGATGAGTGAAAAGAACTTACTTTTGGGTACTTTTTTTCTTACCGTGTACATAGTCCACTGCCGTATATCAAATGATAGTGAGTGACTCAATTGACAGTGACAATGAGCTTCGAATGAGAAAGGGGCTCTTCAAATTATGGTCATGTGAGAATTCGTTTTCACAGAATTGGTTCATCTTCAATCTAATGATATGAAAATTAACAGCACTGGCTGTGACAGTGAAACTCAGCAAGAAGAGAAAGAAGAATCGGAGCCAATCCGATGGCACGATTGGTCGTGACGATGTCACTGCGACGAACATATCGGAGATTTTTGTAACCCTGCCGAAACCGAGAATTCTGCCGAAATGAGCGTGACAAAAGTGAAGCTACCTCCGTTGGTAGTGAAAAATGACCATCTTAACGAGCTCATCGTGGATCTGGCGTCGCTGGGCGTCAACGCCGAATTCAAGTTGGGCAGTGTCGGCACCAAGGAGGTGCTCCGTAGGAAAACGGAGTTTGACTCGCCCACCTGAGGATTTCTAAGGTAGAATTCTTCACCCACTACATTCCCGTTGAGAAACCATTCAAGGTTGTCATGAAGCTGAAATCAGGAATCGGTACAAGCTGGCCCCAAGTGCCGTCTATCGAATGACAAGGAGGGACGAGAATGTGAAGACGTATCCGGATTTTTTTTTTCCTGGCACACTTCTAGAAGGGAACGGTGGCGCTTAACGCGTTGAAAGCCATCCGCTCCATCAATTCCATCATCGCCCGCTGGGAACCATCGCGATGTGACTCATTGCCAACAGTGGCTGAACTTTGGACACGGCATCCGCAACTGCAACATTAAGCAACGTTGCGGCAATAGCGCTAAACTCCACACCACTTCCAAATGTACTGCGGATGAAGATGCAGCGTCCAAATGCGCCAACTGTTGTGGTGCCCACCAAGGATCCGATAAGCAGTGCCCTAAATGCTCGTCTACCAACATCATCCAGGACAAAGGAAGGATAAGGCCCCAGCTTTCAGGGCGGAGGACTTTCCACCTCTCCATGGACAAGCGAATTCACGGATGAGATCTACTCCCCGTCAAGAAGCCTCTGGTGATTCTGCAGGACAATCTTCTCGTATCAGAGGACTGGAGATCTGGGCGAAAACGTTAAATAGCCTGTCTGAACAGGCAGATTACTTCCAAAAGGGACTCACTTCGAAATTAAAGTTTCGGGCGTGTTGTCCAGAATCTGAAGGACCACTCCATACCATTCTGGAAGGTAGCCAAGGTCTTGAAAACTCATCCCAAAGCTGTTCCTCCCAGAATCGAAAATGATGACGATTGGCTCTTAATCACCCCACAGGAGAAAGCTAATGCGATCGGCGAGCATGTCGCTATCGCATTTGTTTGGCTCGAACATCCTAAGTCCGCTCGATGATTATTATTATTATTTATCTTTATTAGGGAGGCTTTCAGCCTTGGGCTGGTTCGCCTCCGCTCGATGATAAGGTTGTGCAATGCGTCCACAATTTAGATGCCTCCTCTTGTGTCGTACCACCGGAGGATAAAATTGCGTTTGAACAAATTTGCTTAGCCGGCGCCGGTGGTATAGAGGTAAGCGTGACTGTTTTCTAACACCCCAATGGGTCTGGGTTCAATCCCAGTCGAGGTTGGTGGGATTTTTCTGAGGCATAAAAATCTCTGGTCACGTCTTCCTTCGGAAGGGAAGTAAAGCCGTTGGTCCCGGCCCATGTGTGTTGAATGGGTGCGATATCCTACGCAGGTGTGGAAGCTGCCTTCCTGCACATTCGATTGCCGTCAATGGATGGCAATCGATGTCCGTCGGTGATTGGCACTAGATTGCGGAACAGAGACCGACGTTAAATAAAAGAAAAAGAAAATTTGCTTAGCGCTCAAAACACCACTAATAGGGTAGAGCGCTACTTCGTCGTAATCACCCATTTCCGTTCTATCGATCAGAAAAGATCAATAATATCAATGATTTCACCATGCACAAATCAATAATAGGTTTGTTCCGATGCGTTAGTTCAACATAATCCTATTAAAGCGCATTGTATAAATATTTACGCTCAATGTTCTCAACACAAAAGAAGTGCTCCTAGCAAATCCCCTTTTTCTACGTGTATCCTTAGGACGAAGAAAATCTAAAGGCGTTTCAATACGTGCGGACGGAATTGAAACTCCTAGGACGACTTAAGAATAAAAACAGTATTGGATTTTAAACAATATCTCAACAATTGACCACTTTGTCAAGCAGTTTTGGCGTGACTTTCTACCAGTGATTTCACAAAACTGGACCAAATAATTTATATTTTTATATGAAACGCACAAATGTTGGCTAATTTTCTCGAGGTTCTAGAAGAAAAAAATCTCAAAATAATGTTTTATTTTAAAGTTCGAGTGGTAGTAAACGTCATTTTAAGTACTCGAATAAAGTGGTTAATTTGTGATTCTTTATCAAGTCTAACTGTACTTATGGAAAGGTGAATAAATTTAGAAGTCATTTTTGGCATAAATATTCAATTCTTTGTTCAAACCCGTTCAAAACAGAAAGGTAAAACGTGGGTTGTGCTAAGTAGCATGCTTGGCATACACAGTTTTGGTCAAGAACTGTTCATTTGCTAATAACTTTGCACATAGTTGACGGAACATAGTTCTTTTTGAAGCAGGAGATAGAATAGAGTGTAAGCTTGTTATAGATATGTAAAAAAAAAAGTAGATTTTAATGCTAGTAGTAAACTGTATTTGTTTTTGCGTTGTAAAAATGGGGTGAGAAATGCTCACTACACATCTCGGAATTTAAGTGTTAAATTGATTAGTGTTGATTGAAATGTTAAGTTTTACCTAATCTTCGCATATCTATAATAACTATAAGCCTAATCCACAGACAAACAGACATAACACTTTGAGTATTTCTCACTGTAAAACATCGTCGTTAAAACATTACCGCCATCTGTTGAGTACACTGTGGTGGGCACTACGCTGAACAGATGGCGGTAGTGTTTAAACGACAGACGCAAGGGGATTGACTATGCGCGCCACTAGTGGCGGTACTACCAACTACGATGCTTTTAAATTGTCCGTTAAATGCTTGTTCGATGAACAACTTGCGAGTGTTATGTCTGTTTGTCTGTGCCTAATCTATCAATTACTTAAAAAAAAAAAAATTTCAACATCTGAGTGAACAGGCATTACCAAATGAGCAGTTGGTGTGTACAACTTGTAAGAAACGGCTAGCTCACCGGTACTCTTACCTGTCTCTAGGGCGGCTCATCCACTTATTCGGAGGACTCACAACCCAACACTAAAGCGAAGTGGACAACACAGTTTTCTAAGTCGACATGCATGGGCTCGCGTAGTTTCAAAAGAATAACATACAAAATAGATAGGGGAATTAACGTATTCTCGGCAACCTAAGCAGCGACCTTCTTTCTATAGCCTTTTTCTCTAAGGAACGCACACATATGCAGTATTGGTTTGTTTACAATCTTTTGCTGCCAGCTGCTCTAGCAATTTCAGTCGAAGGAATTGTCAAAAACTGTTTTGAAACGCTTTTAAAAAGCTCCAATCTTCTCTAGTGAGAGCGAGTATTGTCGGCCACCAGTTTTTCTTCGGCAATCGTTCCATTTGAACTGCATGTAAATCTGCTGTTCTATTATCGGCAACTCAAAATCAGCTACAATTTGTAGTGCGTGCGTTTCATTTCAAGAAAACCTTGCTAGATTGCTTTTTCTCAGTGGTAAAAATATAGCTGAAAGCATAAAGAATCGTTTGAATGCATTCAGCGAAGTGTTTTCGTAAGAAAATCCAGTGAAAATAGTGTTTCAATTTGGGTTGCCGAAAATAGTCTGGCATGCCGAAGCCGTCATTTCCCCTATCATTTTCTTAAATTTTATTGAGGGACATATCACACAAAGGTGATGGTACCGGTGCGGCCGATCTGCAACGTTGGGGCCCTACATGCGGAGAGATAGGAAGGAGGGTTCTGTTTCATACCTGTTGCCCTGCAGGGGCTTGGAAGGAAGAGTAGAGCTGTTAGAGGTTAGGTGCTGTCCACGAAAATCGATCGCAGGATCCTCGGATGTTGGCTGCAGCTCTACCTTAGCCCGCAGACGGATGGGAAACTCATCGGCATCAGTAACAATAAGCGGGGGCGAACCCTCCGGACCTCACTGTACTTCTGCCTCAGAAACGTCCGTTTCACCAAACCGAACGCATGTGGCACAACGATAGTAAGGGGGTCTCGTTGGCCACTGGCTAGCCCGTCTCGTACATCGGAGATCAGGATGATGGAAGGGTCTTCGTCGTGTTGTTGTACCGTTCTCCTGCATTTCTCGCGCGGCCGGGATGTGGTTCTCCGTCCCTCTCACAAATCCTTGGGACACTTGATCTTGGCCGGCGGAGCCGGAGGCGTGTCGTAGTCACGTGTTCACCCAACCTACGACGCGGGGATGCTTCTGTTCTGTCCTGCCGGATGCTCTAAACTTGACTGGCGTGGCTGGGAACGGGTTCAATGTTCCGGAATACGTGGGGTAGCCGCACTGTCTGACCCGGAACCACGAGGATACTCAGAAGTCGTCCGTTCGTTCAAAAACCTGAAGCAGCTGGCTTCTGCCCGTAAAACGTGGCTACCACGCAGCGGGTAAAAAGTGGCAACTGCTGGCCTTGTAAAACGGCTGGTTCGGTAACAGGAGAAACTCGCTGATCGTGTTCTTCACCGAGGTCACAAACGCGGCGGAATACAGTCGCGGTTGGTCTCAAATACCTTTAATTTTCCGCACTCGGAGAGAAAAATACTCGATATTTTACACAGTTACTTCTTGACGTCTTCACTGGTCGGGCATCCAAAATCCACTGGCTGGTCTCCCTCTTTCCTTCCTCCTCTTTCCTTTCTCATTATCCATTATCTCGATCTCGATGCGGCGAAATCGCTTTTCGCCCGAAGCGGTGGATTAGCGATTATCCATATCCTCTCAAACTCGGCAATGATGAGGTAGAGATGCGAACAGTCCAGGCGTTAGTAAATTTTAATAGGGTTGTAAAATTTAGTTGCGGAGCTTTGCCGTCTTCTTTGTTATTTACATAAGTGAACGATGGAACAAACTAAGAACACGTACTTTATATTCGTGTGTTTGTTTCATCGTTTTATTTTCTTTTGGTTGTTAAATGTTGTCCTACATGCAAAGGTTCACAAATGTTTTTATTTTTGGTGCTGGTTGACTATTTGTAAGGATATTTATTTAGGTTTTAGTTCAGTTTGTGTTAAGTGTCCTTTCACCATTTTTTTGTATAGCCATGGGCGCCCTACAAATAGTTATTTTTTTATAATTTGGTGCCTCCTCGATTGTCACGCAAAACCATCGAATTCACTCTAACTCGAGGAGATGCAAAATCCCATGATGGAAAAAGACACATAACTCTTAACACTAATTTACAAAGCATTTCATTATTTTGTTTCCATTAATTCATCGTGATACTTTTATTGTTGTTTTAAATAATCCAATAATAATATTAAAACGAGCCATGAACAAAGTGTAACGAATGTAATCAAATAGTCTATATATAAGATGAATAAAAAAAACCAAGAATATTAACATGCATGTCGACTTCGTAACTGGAATGACATGTTACCAGAACAATTAGTAACAAACTGTGCATGCCAAGCATGCTTAGTAGGATGGAAATTTAATCAAAAACCCTATAAAGGCTCCTGGCTTTGACAACATATTCAATTCAATCATAAAGAGACTCAGCACGAAAGTGTACTCACTTTGGACCGCTACCTTCAACAGATGCTTGGAGCTGCACTACTTTCCAAGCATCTGGCTCGAGGCCTCTCTTACTCGACAAACTTTCGGATCAATAATTTCAGCACAAACTCACACCGTTGAATGGTGATGCAATCTTTATTCAAACAATTTTCCTTATCGACCCCGATTTTATCTAAGCAATTGTTCTCGTTACTCTTTGGAAATAGTTTTGCATCTGCTTCATCCGCTTGTCATTTAGTTTAACGATCCGATCCATCTGACATTCGTGACGGCAGATTCCGCAAAACTGGCTCGACACAATATGCAATGGAGTTCGATAGTAGAATTCCGGATTTCGGTTGCAGGCATTCTTCTTGTGGGCCCACTTGTGCAGCGCCACTTCGGTAAGCAGGATCAGTAGTGCCAATTTGGGCATGATAAAGAGCGGTGGAATCAACAGAAGCAGATAACTGGTTTTGTTATAGCCGAGGATAATTTCCTGCGAATGGGGCAAAACATAGAGTGGCCAATTTAAGTTGCCTTTTCGCAATTGGTGGTATATGGAATTGATCAAGCTCTGGAAAAGGGCAAGTTTGGAATATTTTTCTAACCCTCTCAAAAGCAGTTGTCTGCAACTTATCGCTTAACGAATACCTCCTTCAAGTGCATCATCTTTTCCCGACTAGCCAGCGGGTAACTGCTGTTGACTTTCGATACACAGCACTTCTTGCGGATATTGCTTTGCTCGTAGCTTCTCAGGTATTGCTTCGGAATGCTGAACTTTGAGCGTTCCCGCCGTACCACCAACGCAGGATGGTCACTGCTTTCACCCGTTTCCCGGTCATAGTACAGACCGCCGTCTTGGAAAGCACCAAGCTCCAGCTCACCCGTCTCTTTGTCGAACATTGGACAACTCTGCAACGTACGAGAAGAAGAAGTAGAATAAATGCATTACTAAAAGTGAATTTTATAAATTCAGATATGGCCCCTTCCTTTATCGCATGTACGGAAGGTGCTGCAAATTGAATCAATTGGATGTTTATCCGTATAAATATGACGACGACGCCGCACGTCTGTGCCAGTAGACCTGTCAGTTCAAAGGTCATCAATTTGAACCCGCTGCGCACTGTGGCCGTGTGTTCACATTCAGTAGTCTATGGAAGTAGAGAATCCACCGCCTTCTTGGCAAGTACATATGCAGATAAGTTTGACTGTTTGAGTTCAACTTAGTTCAAATGCACACGTTTTGTCGGCATGAGGGACTGGTTTGGTAGCGTCACATTAATACTGCCGGTAGCACGCATATCTGAACCATGTTACAGAAGATCAGTTGCATGCCAACTGACGAATCGATTTGATTTTTCCCGCTCCGAATTACATGAAACTTTGCATTGTTCACTAAGTAGGGCCATGAGCCCAATTAGTGCCAGAATTTTATTATGATATATTCAAAATATCGGATACGCCATTTTGAAAAATTAAGGGTAAGTCAAAATTGTGCTGGATTCCAGCAAAAACATGGTTCATTGCCCCTGGTGAACAATTATGCGATGTTTCATGGAATTATGATAGGTAAAATCTAAAATTTGTTTATTTTTTTGTGCTCGGAACCTCGCTTAGAACACAAAACTAAAGCACAGACAAACAGACATAACACATTGAATATTTCTCACTGTAAAACATCGTCGCTAAAACATTACCGCCATCTGTTGAGTACACGGTGATGGGCACTACACTGAACAGATGGCGGCGGTGTGTAAATGTCAAACACAAGGGAATTGACTATGCGCGCCACAGGTGGCGGTACTGCCAACTACGATACTTCTAAATTGTCCGTTAAATGCTTGTTCGATGAACAACTTACGAGTGTTATGTCTGTTTGTCTGTGACTAAAGGTAAGTATTCACACACCTAGAGTAATTGATGCGCAACAATGTCCCGATCGCAGCAAGCTGGCTGCTGGCATCCAATAGGCCAAACCTGACTACCCTTAAGATTATATTAAGGTTCAATTTACTTTGATGCATTTTTTTTTTAAATTCAAAAGCTGTTTTTTTCGACGCATTATTTTAGATAGCAAAAAGCTCGCGTCTTTTTGTGTAAAATATCAAAAGGATTCGAATAGTGCGAGCTTTTTGCAAAAAGCATCAAAGTTAATTGAACCTTAAGTCGAGTTGTTCGTGAACTAGTGGCTAAAAATCACCTTAATAAAGAAAAAGAAGTTAAAGGACAGGACAGGTCTGTTCCCGTATTCTCTTTTTTGTAAGACTCTGTACAGCAACAATCCAAAGCATGTTTACTGAAAAAATATGATGCGCTATGCAAGTAGATGCGAGAAATGAAAGAAGACTGTTAGAAGATAGATTCGTTAGTGTGAGATTTGTTGAGCATCTAGAATTTAGATTTGGATGTGTTGCCCCCCTCGCAAAATTATTAAATTTAATAGAAATTAACAATGTGTTCCAGATTAATAAAACTGCTTATAGAGTCATTCAAAGCGTTTTTATGTTATTTCAGAGTTGGTTGGAAATGCTATCATGAAGTAGTGTGATAATTTATTAGCTAGAGAATGATCTTTAGAAGAGGGTAGGTGGATAGTTCCGTTAGAGTACGGCAGTATGAAAATTGAATAGAAGTTGAAAATGAGCGAAGCGCCATTAATGCGACAGTTTTTGAAGTTAGACGCACATCTTTTGCCTAACCAGAAAAAATGTGTACGATGTACGCGGAGACTTGAAGTATGTCTTCAAGTCTACAGGCCTACACACTTAGAAATTATCGCTGACTTCGGTAATTTTTACCGAAATCTGAACAGCTGAACTGTTCGGTAAAATTTATGCAATTCAATTCAATTGTGAAACTAAATCTCCACTAAAATGACAAGATTTGATAATTGAAACAAGGTTGGACATTTTTTCAAGTTATTTTCAAATTTATTAGCCTTTAAAATGAAGGTCACAGTTTTACCGAACGTTCAGCTGTTCTGATTTCGGTAAAATTTACCGAACACGGAACCAAAATCTTAGTGTGTATAGAGATTAGTGACGTTTAATGCACGCACACAAACTGGAGTCTATCGCCGTGTAGAGTTGTTTCTAATTTTGCTCGGGCTAACCTCAAAATGTATAGAATTCGTCAAAGTTCCTTTGACCATGGTTTGTTATGTATTTTCCTCGGATTTTCACTACCACACTTTCACACAGCGCATCAATACAACCAGACGTGATAATCTGTATAGTGGAAAACTTTTCGAATACCCTACACACCATTTAAAAACTACCCAAATCTAGGTAGAATCCACCTAGATCTGTCAAAACCAACTCCCTGGCAACTTGACAACTTCAGTATATTTCCAGTGTACCCCGACAATTTGGTGCTGGTGGTTCTGTCAAACTCACAAATTTCAGAAGTGTTATCTGAATAGGGCGAATTCGGAAATGATGTACAGTAAATAAAAATAAAATTTAAAATTCATCTTATTTTCGCGCGTCCACCGGTTTGGACACGTGACGTCCGATGTAAAAATTAACATTAGCAACATACGAACTACAATGATGCCAGCGAGAAATGTCGTTATGATTCTCAGTAGTACATAATCAATACAATACGTAATCAGTATATGAAACATTTTTTGTTTAATTTGGTGTAGCGTTTGTATTTGAGCAGTTCATAACGAAAAACTTACACATATGATTTGAATTTTTTTTTTAATTTCTTGCGACAACGGATCTTTGCAAAAATATATACAAAAATCGTCAGAACTCAATTTTAGCTGATATTCTTGAAAACTCTGGTTTACATCCTCTTCACTTATATGATCAGTGCATTTTTTAGGGGTTTTCATGGTATTTGTGTTGTCATTGTCACTATGCCCATAACTGTGTAACTAAATAATAGAACATACCAGCTTATGGATTCATCTGTTTCTTTAGGCTTCAAGATTAGTGAGGAATAAGGTTGATGATACGGATGGTTGGAACAAAAGGCGATGATTTAAATTTATTCGTTTTAGAAGCTCATTGTAAATATTTTTTTGTGAGACCCTTATTTGATTTAGTTTATATCATTTTATTTATTTCTTCAATTTTAAATGGATGTACAAATTGCTCGTCTTCATCCAGCAAATCTGCTACTCACCGCGAAACAGAATCAATTTTGTAAGTTTTTTACGGATAGAATTCTTAGTGCCTCCTTAGTGATTGCACAATCGAACTTTGCATCCGGAAACAAGTAGAGACATGATTGGAATGAAGCTGAAACGAATCCTTTTTTCCGCTCAACTGAAGTAGCACACACACGCAGACACTTCCAAGATGCCTGACAGTCCACAGAAGAAAAAGAAGAGAAAAAAAAAACAACTGCACTGAAAAACAAGAGGCAGTTTACTTACCCCGTAAATGAAACACAGGAGAGTAAACTCTTTTTAATCATACCGCTATGTATCCCAAGGCTGGTTATATTCAAGAGGATAATACAATACAAGACAGTAAAGTATTTTTATTGCTATTTGATTATATTAATAAAAAAATAAACCATCAATCGGTTTCAATTCGTTTGAATTTATTTCATTTCACCACGAAAATCATAAATTCACTCTTTTCATATAGCATTCTTGCTTGCTGTTTGACATCCACACATCGTGAAAGTTAGTTTCCCATAGAGAAATACCATTGCGGCGGTGAAGGATAATCCCTTTGTTTACGTCATGTGGCGACATCTACTATTTGCAAGTGGGTACGTGAAACTAAGGTTATCCTTCACCTTGCCAGGGACTTGGTCAAAACTGAACCTACCCAAAAATGGGTAAACTATGTTGGGAGTGACAAGTTGACAAATTAACAACGTCTATTGGATTCATGTCGATGTTGTTCATTTGTCACTCCCAACACAGTTTACCCATTTTTGGGTAGGTTCAGTTTTGACCGATCTGGGTGGATTTTACCTAGGGGCACGCAATACAAAGAACCAGTGCGTTGAAGTTAAAATGGATTCAAAAGTACTTAAAGTAATTAATGCGTTTTGAAGTAGTACTGACGGTAATTAACTTTTACTATCCGTACTTAATGTAATTAAAAGTATTGAAAATGTACACTTAAAATTATTACTAAATGAAGAAAGGTTAAAAAATAATAATTTTATGGTTAAGTAATGTTTATACATTGATCGGATTAAGGCTTGGCTTAAAATTATACTTAATTAGAATAATGTTGCGGAATGCATTCAGTGTATACGAGGTAAATATACAAAAAAATGTCAAAGTTTCACTCGTCATGTAAAACTCTATAGCGGTCATTCGTTCAGTATTATTTTTTTAATCTTTATTTATTTGTAAATATTGGAAGAATGATCGTTAAATCTTTCCGGCTTGTTGGGTGAGTATGAGCAGGTTTATAATGCTGGACCTCCCAAATAGCATGTACGTCGTCTTCTGGTCCAGCTTATACTTTATAAATTGTTTAAAAAACAGATTCACCTTCCAAGGCTCCTCGAATACACCGGCTGTCATCATCGCTGAGGGAAACCCAAGGAACCAATCAAGGCTACTTCGGGCCAACCCCACCAGGCTTTGGCGTACTCTAATTGGTGAAAATTAGTACTACTCATAGACTGAGTAAATTTTTCGTCAATTTTCCTCATGTTCCGCCAGATTTGTTAGGCTTTCCACAGGAAAACATAAGGCAAATTTACTCATCGCTGAGTTCCTGAACTCTCTGTGATTATGAGTAAACTAAACTCAAATTTAGGTTGAACTCATTGGCCGTGTACACATAATTCAGTTCCATCAGCTCGCCATCAACCTCTATGTCGCCATCATACATAAAAATACTAATAACTAAAATTCTAAGGCTGTGTTCCATTGGGTGAATTTTCACTTAAATTTGACCCTTCGAAAATAAATTAAGATGTTCGAAAATCTTTCTGTTGTTGATCTTCCCATTTTCGAGAAGGTGTTTGTCTAAATTGATTCCTGGTCTGTCAGAAATAAGTCTGGTACAATAGCAGGTTTATTTGAAAATTATCCATCTGTCAAATTTAAGTGAAAATTCATCAAATGGAACACAGCCTAAGATTTCCAAACATATAATACAATCAATTTGGATTTGTTTACGGAACATCAATTAAAATGCTTTAGCTTCACATTCTGATGACCATTGAACTTTTCTTGAGTTTTTGCTATTTTCCCGATGGTCTCAGAACTTTCCTGAACTTCTCAAAGTTTTCCTAGATTTTCCTAATTTTACTGGAGATCTATGAACTAAAAAAAAAAAAACCCCCCGAAACTACATTAAGATTGCCGTTATTTAATTGTAGTGAAATTTAAATGATTGAGGCAGTTAAAATATTTACCCTGAAGTATCATAGTTCATGTAAATGCACTTAATGTATCAGAACTAATTCTTCGAGATCATTAAACTTCCCAGAAAGACTAGACTTTCCAGAGGTTTTCCTGATGTTTTTGAAACTTCCTCGATGCTAACGGATTACCTTTAATTTTCCTCACAAACAATTTAGCCGGTTAAATGCAGGCTAAAAGCAAGCTTATTCAGTTGATTCAATTGATCATTCCTAAAATTTTCAGAATTTCACGTGATTACTTGATAAAGAAACTGCCTTAAAATCTTTAAACTTGTCTGAAGTTCTTTGGACCTCCCTTAACCCAACTCTCGCGTCAAATCACCGAAAAGTGAACGAATAAAAAAGAAAGTTTCACGTAATTGATTCGAATTTTAATTGTATTTCAAGGTAAACTTTTCCTCTTTCTAGCGATGCACAAACATTTTAAAAATATCCATGGAAATTGATGAGACGCGTGCACTCAGTGCACCAACGCGGCTTCCGGAAGGCTTAGATCTTGCAAAGTTCTCTGATCTACACTGTTCCTGATTTTTTTTTCTAAAGTTCTCCAAATATTCTTGCAGATTCCGCGATATTCCTGAAACTCTCGGAACTTTTCTGAAGTTCTCGAGTTTCTCAAAAATTATTTGAAAGTCCTGAAATTTAATTAAATTAATTGAACTGCCCTGAGATTCTCTTATCTTCTGTGATGTTCTCGGGGCTTTCCTGAAGTTCACGCAATTCGGACTTATGATGTCTTCGGAGCACTTATTGCTTGCATCATAAGGAATAAGTGCACCGGAGACACCAAGACGATTAGACGTAAACTTTCAGTTTTATCACACTTTTTAATAAGTGAAAACGCGCTTATTAGTCCAATTTGTTGTGAAACGCGCAATACACAGCCCACGAAGTATTTCTCGATTACTTTTTCGAAGGAACGTATCATCTTTTGTAAACAACGCATTTGATCGTCGATTTGGCGTAACTGGTAGCTCACCCACGCATACCACAGACAAACAGACGTAGCTCTTTCAAAAAGTTTTTCTTGAAAACATAGTATCTCAAAACATAGGACCTCAGTAACGACATCTCTCGGGCCTCTCGCGGAAAATCAGCTTGCTCGTTAACTCGCAAAAAAATATTGCATAAAAGGTCTATAGAATGTATAGAAACGTCAAAGTGATCCGATGCCAGCGCTGCGGCGAGTAGTTCGCGGAACTGATAGTATTCAAATCGAACGTTAAATGCGTTAACGAAGATACACAATGAAGTGTTACGTCTGTTTGTCTGTGCTAATGATGTGAATGGAAATAAATGGAAGATGGAAATGATGTGAAAATGATAATGACGTTTTGCTAGCTGTCAAATCGTATGGAATATTTTTTAGTACATCATCACTTTTGTGGTTTTGGATTTCAAACCTATGTGTCGCATGCACTGGTGCAGTTTCGCGTAGATTCATCAATTGAGTCGACAGGAATGAAGATCATATTTGCAAATGGTAAAGTTAAAATTTTGCGTGATTCAGTGGTCGTAGCAACCGGACAGAGAAGAGATAAACTCTACAAGCTAAATTTGTATACGGCTAAAGGGGAAAGCAATGCTTTCATTTTCTCGGGGGCAATCAACAAAATGACAGAACTGTGGCATCGGCGGTATGGCGAAAGAAATCTGTCTAATTTGCTGAAATCTGGTATGCTCGCGTAACTTTTCAAATCGACCAATGTAACAAATGTAAACAAATCGAGTTAAGCGATACAAACTATTGCTCTTCTATCATTGTATGTGATACAAAAACATCCATCCAAATTTACTTTCATTTATTTAAGATAAGCATTGTTCAAAAATTGTCCAATGTACAGTTTGAAATGATGGGTATATGATTGTTACTTCGGTCATTCGGACTGCTTAGCATGATTGGTGCTCATTTTCCAAAGGCGGGGCCAATCTAAAGTTAGGTACTATATTCTGAAATTTGTGAAAGGGAATTTAGTATCATGTAGACAAAACGTCCAATGTAACACTCATTGATTATGTCATTGAGAAAAATCGTCCAATGTAACATGTCCGATGTACAACTCGACTTGTCAAAACGTCCTATGTGGTTTTTTTCTATGTTGTAGCATGAAATTCAAAGTAAAATTGTGATTTTACCGTTGCTTCTGACTTTTCAACGTTATTATACACTGACTACATTAAAAATAGTATTGCAAAATGTATTGCTGTTAAACAGTTAAAATAATAATCTGTCGAACTTCAACTTCGATTTGCTCAAAATGGTGGATATGTTACATTGGTCTATTTGAAAAGTGACGCGAGTATGGTTTCCGGGGTGAAGATTGACTGTAGCAAGGAGTCCCTGGCGATATGCGAACCATGCGTGGCGGCTAAACAAACACGAGGCCCTTTCGCGTTGCAAGAGGAACGGCGGTCAATTCGAGTGTTGGAACTGGTGCATTCAGAAGTATTTGGACCGGTTACACCTACAGAGTGCTGACAAAAGTCATCGCCACAGCACTTAAAACAACAGTAGCGACGAGTCCTGCTGTCTTCATTGTTATGCAACGAAATATTTATAACTTACGAGACAAAAGCTCTCGTCTTGCAACAGAAAAGTTGTAACGACATTGATGCACGGTGACGTCAACTATCTATTCGTCACAACAACTTTGCAGTCATGCTACAATAATTATTTGAAGAAGCGTTGTGAAGATGAAAAATCATTTCGTCATCGTCGCACTTCAATTGTTGCGTAACGAAAAACGATGTGTTTTCAGTTGTAAAGTCTAGAGTAGGGAAAATCTGCATTTTGATAATAAAAAAAAACACAAAACGGAAGCAGTTTCAAAAAGTGTCATTCAATTAACCAGTTTTAAACCTCACACGCAATAACAGCTGGATCAGGTAGCGATTGTTCCGATATAAATCACAACACAATTGTTGAATCGATATTCGATTAAATCAATCGGCCATCATGCATTCGAACCTTTATTCTTTAACATATCGATAAAATCAGTAAGCCTTGAAAAAAGGACTCACAAAATAAATGCAGTTGCAAAAAAGTGACATTCATCGTTCGGACACGAAGATAACAAGTTGGGTTTTTTTATCTGCACCAGTAAAAGTATTTGCATTCTTGCATCTTCTCAGCTTCAATGAAGTGTTGGCTACTCAAGAAAATTATTTCGGCTCTTCATCAAGGTGGATTGAATAATCAAGAATGATGGGTCATTCCCTTAAATTAGGACCATTTCCTACTTGAAAGAAGAACAAAAACATTCCAGATTGATGTCGTTAAGAAGCTGGAAGTGCTCACTTCAATTATTTAATAAGTATGCTACCTAAAATTCATTACCAAATAATTAAGTCAATGGTAGGTGCATATCATTAAATATAACCCTAATTCAGCAGAACAGCAGTTATCTGAAATGCCGTTTAAAGATCCAAAATCAGTCATGAACTTCTCACAAAAGCTTTTGTTGTTTGAGAACTTTTTTTTTTTCTTTTTTCCGTGGTGCATAGATGGTTTCAAGAAATGTTAGTTATTTTTCATTAATTTTCAAAAATTCAAAAGCAGTTTTTTCGTCCAAAACCAAAATTACGCTCATGAAAATATGTTCATTATATTTAACCGGAACACAGTGATTCCATTTTCATTGACAGAATTTCGATTTTAAACGAAAGAACTGCTTTTGAATTTCCTAAAGATAATGAAGTCTCATATCCCTTTAATAATGTTCCACACAAGTATGTTCTGAACGATCGTTCCCTTAAAATCCTTCAAACAACGACTGTCGATAGTAATCTATTTTAGGCTACGAATTTCGGATAAAAAAATAGGAAAATAAAATGAAGATATAAAGCAGTTTTTAGCTTCAAATTTTTATTAAGAAAAAAGTGTATTATCAAAGGAAAACAAAAAAAAGTCAAAAAAACGTAATTTTCTTCTTAAGTTTCAGATCTATCAGCGAGCTCGACTTTCCAATCATACATGGTCGGGATGATCTTTTCAAAGATTTCTTTGTTGAGTTTGATCATCAAAATATCTTGTAATGCCTCTTCTGACAGCCCAGTGCGTAAATCGGATAGAACTAGTGCAAGTGCACTAAATGCACGTTCAACGGATACTTGGCTAGACGATCCAGAGAGTACGACCATAGCAACTTCAAACAGTTCCGGATGGCTGTGCTTCCGAGCGAGCCAATGGCTCCAGACGTCGTAGTGATGAGGTTGCCTATTTTCGATGTTGAGATGATGGAGCTGTTGTTGAAAAGAAGAAGCGATATTTGCAGATGTGGTCTCCGAACTTCCAAACAGCTGTGTTAAGTAATCGTCCATTTCATCTGCCTTCTGGACGTTACTTTGGCGCATTGGCACTTCAGCAGATGTTGACGGTTTTTTAATCTTGTTTATCCTCTCCCAGACGTTTACAATAAAGCTCTGCGAATTTATTATTGTTCGGTTATTTGGCGATCACACTTTAATAAATATATTTCTTTCAGATACGAAAATTTACCTGTACAGATTCTTTATCGTCGGCTGATGGAAAAATACTTGAGCCAAGAAAATTAAACCGCGGGTCGAGGAAAACTGCAGCAAGGAAAAGCTTGTTTTCTTGAAGTTTTTTCAGTCGGTTCTTAAGTGCTAACGACAAACTTGGGCACAGTGGATTATTGTTATGACTCTCAACTGATCGTATCGCTTGCAACCATTGCATGTAAAAGTCACTGAGTGTAACGTGCTTCATCTGTAAATCATTTGTTAAAGTATACACCGGAGAGAATGCTTCAATAAAGTCTTTCATGAACTTCCAGTCGTCGTTTGTGATCTCTATAAAACAAATTATTGTTTAATATTGAGATAGGAACGATCTTTGTATTGTTTAACTTACCAATTTCTTTGTAATCTTGAGCCAACTCGGTATAAAACTTTTCTTGCTGAACTATCGATTCGATCATTTTGTATCGACCTCCCCATCTTGTAGAAGACCACAAAGGAGCCTTGGAGGCTTGCTTGAGCTCGAAAAAAAGGCAGTATTTATTTTTCCGCGATTCTTTAACAAGGTCCGTAATCCTGCGAATGTTGGGATCGTTTTTCTTTACTACGTCTCCAACTGCCAGCTGTAGTGTGTGACTTGCACACCGGGTGAGACATAGTAGAGGATCAAACTCAGAAGCAAGTGAATCCAATAATTCAATTTCCTTCTCATTACATTGGTGTCCTTCATCTTCCAAGAGGGTTTCGGGTGAAACTCCAAAAACCGCTGAAATTTTCTGTAGCATTTTCACGGCGGCTATCATGTTGGCTCCATTGTCGGTTGTGACAGACAGGATTTGATCGATTGAAACCTCGTATGATTGCAAAATCTCAAGAATCGTATCCTTCAAAAACTTGGCGGTCTGGCTTTGTTTTACTTCGATCATTCCTGTAGATAAAAACATTATGAGAAAATAAAGCATGTATATTAAATAAATGTTTTAAAATACCAAGTGTACGTATGACTACTGTCCCTTGCTTTTCGTACTGCACATTTATTCCAAGTATGTGTCTTGAATGCCTCGAAGCGGAATCAATCGCCAGATGAATCAATCTTCCACACATTTCATTTTTGATTGCGTGCTTTACCTTTTCCGCGGCGACGCCAAGATGTATTTTAATATTTCTACGATTCATTGTTACATCCAATGCTTCTGAAATAGGGTCCAGTAAAAGTCTCAGCCCTTCCCATTCCATGCAGGAGAAGGGAAGATGATGTAGTGCAATCAATTTCACGCACGCTTCCAGCATTGTTTGCTTGTTTACTGCAATTGGGATCTTCGGCACTATTTTGGCTTTTTTCGCTGGTGGCTCTTTTATTAACTCATGTAGGACAGCTTCTTCCGGATGTTGGGAGCGGAAATGCCGTAGAAAATTTGTCACATCGTATTTTTCTTGATAGTAGCTGCATCCAGTAATCGTATCAATAGCACAGTACACTTTATTGGCCTCTTTTCGAATCAAATCCGCAATTATAGAAGAATACGTAAATCTTCGCTTTTTTCCAGCCATTTTTTCGGATTTATTTGGTAGTTCGTCTGATCGATTGAAGCACTGACTGAAAAATGACAGCTAAAAGATCGCACGCTTCGCATGCGACGTGACCAGTGTTGCCAAATAATTTTGATGAATATAGCTTTTAAAAATGTTTCCATTTTTTTTTTTCATTTTGGAGGGGGGGGGGGGTGTTGATAAAGAAGCTGCTTCATAAATTTCTCAAAAATCATCGTATTGTTTACAGTAATTTCCACGTATACTAAACGTCAGTAGACGACTTATCTGTTAATCGATAGGCGAGAAAATCGGTAGCACTGGTCATCCAGGATGTGATAAGTTCATCTTGGTTGAACTGTTCAACGCGACAAAAATGTGTGTTATACGAGACAAGTTTTACATTCCAGTCTGTTGGATTCAAGATTGCGACGAAGTAAAATTAGAAATCGTCGTCGCTTGTGGTCGCAAGACTATCGTCATGCTTCATATGCAACACGACGAAAACTAATGGATGCGGCAAAGCTCAAATCGATGAAGGAGACTTTGTGTTTTTCTTCTACTCCTTATGACGTGAATGACTTTTGTCAGCCCTGCTACAGGATGGAATGGCAATAAATATTTCGCTACTTTTATCGACGATTGGACGAAATTTACTGAAGTGTACCCAGGGATGGAAAATCATTTACATTCATTTCGTGCATTCATTTCGTGCATTCATTTACATTCATTTGCCTCTAACTTTTTTCATCAACAGTATTCCGTAAAATAGTGTTGAAAACATTTGTAGGCTTTGATATTAGCTACATCTTTTGTGAACAACTCAAATCTGTATCTCTTATACATGATGAATCAGAGCGATAAGAACCCACCATTGTTTTTCAGTGAATGTAAATTGCATTCTCTGAAAAACAATAACATGTTCTGCCAGCTCTATTTCATCATGCATAAGAGATTCAGATTTTAGTTACTGACAAAAGTTGTAGTTAATATCAAAAGCTACAAAAGCTTCATACATCATTTAACGATATTCTGTTGATGAAAAAAGATAGAGGCAAATGAATGTAAATGAATGCACGAAATGAATGTAAATGATTTTCCATCCCTGAGTGTACCTGATTTGTTCCAAGGATGAAGTTGCCAGTTGCTTCAGAGATTATGAGGCGCAAGCTAAAGCAAAGTTTTCCGTCAATATTTCTCGTTTACGTTCTGATAATGGCGGAATATACCTGTAATGAAATGCGGATGTTCTGCAAAGAAAAAGGCATCAAGATGGAGTTCACCGTTCCCTACACCACGGAGCAGAACGGGGAAGCGAGCGGATGAATCGGACGTTGGTAGAGAAGGCTCGCTCGATGCTTTTTGATTCAAAAATTGGTCGAGAATTCTGGGGTGAGGCAGTGCAAACGGCTGCATATTTAGCCAATAGCAGTTCTGCTGGCGCTCTTGACCTACAAATGACATTCGCTGGTTTCGCTCTTGGTGTAATGGACTATGTTGACAATCTTCCGGATAGCATAGACGAGATGAAGAAAAGAGCAGATTGGCCGAAGTTGCAAGTGGCCATTAGAGTGATGCAAAATTTGAAATTTTCGCTCCACAATACTTAAACGATTCCAAATCGGATCCTGATTAACCTCTCAAAATTTGAACCCATTTGGTGAGAAACTGAGATGGCACAACCCATTTGAAGTTTGTATGGGAATTACTATGGTAAAACCAAGATTTTTGTTCATGTCTATCTAATAATTCACCATATCGGTCTGCTTCAAAAGCTTTCAACTTTACTTGTAGGAAATTTTCCCAGCTACAACTTTGCTGAAGACCACTTTTTGAATAAATGCAAGGATCGAAAGTTATTAATGGTTCAATGCACTGATGTCTTATGATCATGCTCAATCAACTGCTCAGCAGGCAACATTGGTGTTTCTGGGGCGTTGAATAGGACACAAAAATTATGGCTACTATGTCACACTGCAAAATACAGTGTTGCCTACAGAGCAGCTGCTTGATCATGTCATAAGTTTACCAATCTCTTAAATAATTAATAACTATTTCCTGTCTCGTTTTACATAGAAACGAAAAAATATTCAGCAAAGTTGAAGCTGAGAAAATTTTCTATAAGAATAGTTATCGAGCTGTCTTGCAGCTTAATATGGAAAAAGACTAGAAGGCAATGAACAAAAAGTTGAGATTTCCCATAGTAATTTACATGTAAACTTCAAATGGTTTGTTTCTAACCAAATGAGTTGTAACTTTGGGAGGCTAATCAGGTCCCGATTTGAAACCATTTAAGCACTGTGGAGCGAAAAAGTCAAATTTTGCATCAGTCTAGTGGCCATACAGGACGAAATATATTCACTGTTGCGGAACAAAACATGGACACTCACGAAGCTTCCAAAGGGTCGACTACCGATATCGTGTAAGTGGGTGCTTCTATCAAGCCCGGAGATGATGGAATGCCGGATCGATATAAGGCATGCCTCGTTGCGAGAGGGTTTAGCCAACGTTTTGGCTTCGATTATACGGAAACCTACTTACCCGTCGCTAAGATGGATACGTTACGGACTATGCTAACTGTCGCGAACCAAGAGCAAATTTATGTGCACCAAATGGATGCCCGTACTGCGTTTTTGAATGGAGACCTAAGCGAGGAGATATTTATGACGCAGCCGGTGCGTTATGGGGAAAGGCAGGATTTTGCATTTTCGTCTGCATAAGTATAGCCTCAAACAGGCATCAAAAGCCTGGAACGATCGATTCCACAATTACATTGTCGGATTAGGATTCAAGAGAAGTGGTAGTGACCAATGTTTATATCTTTTTTTTTCCTCTGTTCGGGACCAAACACCACTGCGACCAGTAATTTGAACTATTGTAGTATATCCCGTGTCCTTAGTTTAGTGCATGTCGTATTACTCCATCACTATTAAGAAATGATGAAGCACAGACAAACAGACATAACTCTCGCAAGTTGTTCATCGAACAAGCATTTAACGGTCAATTCAAAAGTATCGTAGTTGGTAGTACCGCCACCTGTGGCGCGCATAGTCAATTCCCTTGCGTTTGACGTTTACACACTACCGCCATCTGTTCAGCGTACTACCCACCACAGTGTACTCAACAGATGGCGGTAATGTTTTAGCGACGATGTTTTACATTGAGAAATATTCAATGTGTTATGTCTGTTTGTCTGTGGATGAAGTATTCGATTTTTTTACAGTTTTCATGCTTGCATTTATCGCAAGGATCCGACTAATTGAAAGGTCCCGCTATTTATATCCTTCGGAGTGTTGAAACACTCTCCAAAGGCGCGCCACTTTGTCAGTCAATTCGGTTAGCAACAAAATTAAGGAATGACACCGCTAATGACCATGCATCAGAACCCTAGTCTTAACCACTTCAAACTAGGGAACAACAAATATAAGATTAGGAATCACATAGATGAAGACTAACTAACTAATTTTTTCCTTATTTCAAGATCATCCTCGGTGGAAAAAGCCGAGTCTTGTAACTATTAACAAGGCATAAAAAGTAACAAGGACTAAGATGCGTTCCTTGGATTACTGAAAAATCCTGTTCCCCTAGTTTAAAGTAGCCAGGACTAGGAATCGGTGGTAGATCTTACATCCCGTAACGTACCACGAAAAGGTGATCTACCAACGTTACGGGGCATGTTTATATCTTCGTGGTGAGGGCAAAAAGAATGTGATTTTTATTTTGTACGTGGATGACATCTTGGTGATTGGCCACGATTTGAACGAGATTCGAACCGTCAAGGCGTGCCTGTCAAAGGAATTCAAAATGACAGATTCTGGGGAAGTGACTAGTTTCCTCGGAACGAAGATCGAGAGAAACCTGAAGAAGCGAGTTCTGCGGATAAGCCAGCGTTCCGACGGAGTTACAGGTAGCTGCTATAATGACAAAGGCGTTGTCAGCTGTACAGTTTCATCGTCTACGGGAGAAACTCAATCTCACACTAACCAGAAATTGAGCAGGGGTAAAGAAGAACAATTTACTATCAGTGTGTACTTAGCAATAACCTTCAGTCACAGACAAACAGACATAACACTCGCAATTTGTTCATTGAACATGCATTTAACGGTCAATTTAAAAGTATCATAGTTGGTAGTACCGCCACCTGTGGCGCGCATAGTCAATTCCGTTGCGTTTGACGTTTGCACACTACCGCCATCTATTCAGCGTACTACCCACCACAGTGTACTCAACAGATGGCGGTAATGTTTTAGCGACCATGTTTTTCCTCTGTTCGGGACCTAACACTACTGCGACCAGTAAATTGATCTATTGTAGTATATCCCGTGTCCTTAGTTTAGTGCATGTCGTATTACTCCATCACTATTGAAAAATGATGAAGAATTCGATTTGTTTACAGTTGCCACTCTTGCATTTATCGCAAGGATCCGACTCTAATTGAAAGGTCCCGCTATTTATACCCTTCGGAGTGTTGAAACACCCTCCAAAGGCGCGCCCCTTTGTCAGGCAAAATTGGATTCCTTAGCAACAAAATTAAGGTATGACACCGATAATGACCATGCATCAGAACCCTATAGTCTTAACCACTTCAAACTAGGGAACAACGATTAGAAGATTAGGAATCACATAGATGAAGACAACTAACTCATTTTTTCCTTGTTTCAAGATCATCCTCGGTAGACAAAGCCGAGTCTTGTCACTATCAACAAGGCATAAAAAGTAACACGGACTAATATGTGTTCCTTGGATTACTGAAAAAACCTGGTTCCTTAGTTTGAAGTAGTCAGGACTAGGAATCGGTGGTAGATCTTACATCCCGTAACGTACCACGAAAAGGTGATCTACCCACGTTACGGGGCAAAAAACCATGTTTTACAGTGAGAAATATTCAATGTGTTATGTCTGTTTGTCTGTGCTTCAGTGCTACCCTGCGTATCTCTAACCCGCGGGTGGTAGCGCTTATGTTGACCTTTTTTCATTCCAATCCTGACCGTGTAAAACAGAGGAATAAATATAACAACGTGTTTTCAATTCGACTAATTATCACGTTTTTGATAATATCCTTGAATCCCAATAATAACAAGTAACAAGGACTAAGATGTGTTCCTTTGGCTACTGAAAAATCCTGTTACCCTAGTTTGAAGTAGTTCGGACTATGAATCGTTGATAGATCTTATATCCCGTAACGTACCATGAAAAGGTCATCTACCCACGTTACGGGGCAGGATTACTTCTACACCTGTGGCACATGCCCAGTTAGCAATGATTAATTGATAAGGTCCAGCAAGAAATCAACTTAATAACATTAGCGTTAACAGTATCTACTCCAGCCGTTTTTCCTAATGAAAAGCAAATATTTCTATGTTCATCTAATTGGGTGAAAACCTTAAAAATTATAATTAATATTAATCGGCTGTTTTACTTCGACAGGTCCATCGACCAAATTCAACAGATTGATTAATCAGTGAAACCCAAAAAAATCATTAAACTTAGATGTAATCACTTGTAGTTATGATCTTTTGATCAGTTTGATTTGAAGTTGAAAACTCAGTTTGGATGGACTTGATCCCCCAAGGTTTAGACACACTTAATCCTAAGATATGTTTAATCGAAAGATAGAGCAAATTCGCAAACATTTCTTTAAAATCCATCATACAAAATACGTCTCGTTTAGTCTCGTTCACAAGTTGCACAAACAAAGATTGACCTATTAATTTGCAGTAAACAATTCAATAGGATTGTTCACGTGTTCAAACATGTATTGGTTAAACAGTGTCAGCGGGTGACTCTTATCGCTGTGCGCAACTTATACTACAGAACTGATGTTAGTTGAAGCTGACATGCTCTGATTTCTCTGGAAAGACTGATGACCGTCAGCATTCTTTTAATCGTCACTGTTCAGTCCATATTGGGTACATTTTTCCATGTCAATGTTCAGTCACTGTATCACTTGGTTTATATAGGATAACCAAAGTCACTCTATTTGTCATTTTGAAAATAATAGTTGAATATGTTGCTTTTGAATTTTAGGAAAATGTTTCGCGTCCGTTTTCCCCTTAAATCACATTGCGATACAATTCAATCATGAAATAATATTGACGCTATGATGAAAAAAAAAGATAATGTAGGATCCGACTAGCTTAATGAGCGCCAAATTGTTATCAGGCTGACGTGAGCTAATAATCACGGTTCGCTTGTTGATTCAAATATCTAATCATATAGCGGCATCGACCCTTTAAATGTTTATTACTCACAAGCCAGTACCGGAAATAGAGCATTAGATGGTGTCTATTCATATATGGTTATTTACCTGTTCTTGACCGCTGAAGTTACTTCGATATGGCCCGAGTCCGGTAGATTTCTCTTTGAAGATCAATGATCAATAGCCAAGCACTAATTGACGTCACTAACTGTTCAAACGGAATTCACGCTGTTCGTAGTTTGGATTGAGGAAATTTTGAATTTCATTTGCACTTTTTATCATACAAGCTATTGACGGTCCTTTTCACACACACACTGTTTCAATTCACTTCCTAACGGCTAGTGTTTGCTCGTTTTCTAGTTCAGTCTTTTTGCTTAAAGAGAACTAAACTTTTCATCAGCCTTAACCAACATTAAATGAAATTTCATCAACAACTATCTAAAAAAAAATCACAGTTCATTTCCAGCTTTGAAGCAATCTTTGAAAAAACAAATAACAGAACTCGATACGATAATTACTACGGTGATAAATTAATTTCCAGCGCAGTCCCATCAATCACTAGCTCTGTCGTTCAATGAAATCTTGTTTTCACATGAAAAAATAATTGTACACAGGGAGTAACCGAACCACGCAGCTAAACATACATTTCGCGACTGATTCACCACGTCCAGTTCTCTAGCGAGGCGGCGAAAGCTCACGACGACCGACGACGGCTCAACGAGTTCACAACGCAAATATTTATTCATCAGTTTGTGTCGTATGTACCTACATCGAATACATGTACGGAAATTCGCGGTACTTTTGACCAATATTTACAGGGAGCACTTAGAACGAATGCACTGAAACTGTGCCAATCAAGTAATAAGACATGAAGATGGAGTTGAATAATATATTTGTTCGGTTTTTTTTAAAGAACCACCCTACCGTTTGTATACATTACCAAATTTGGAAAGCATACATTCGTACATCAGGCTTGCAAAACAAACTGCTTCAGAGATGATTATTTCGCATGTCCAGGTAGAGGGTGCCATATCTTTCATGTCCGGCGTTTGTTTGATTAAGCCCAGTTAAACAAAAGACGTTGATAAGTTAACGAACCGTCCCAGTTATCAGCTGGTACTCTGTAATAACCGTGATTGATAGATACGGAGGACCGCCAGGTACATTTACTATTTTCAGCATCATTGCTTCGTGATCTAATCTCTAGCAGGATCCAAAAGGAATCCACAATAAGAATTTAAACAGGTTGTAAATCAAACATTTAATCGAAAAATTACCACATACCTCTTGTTTCTATTTGCGATCAAACGTTGCCCTTCTTGGCGAATATAAGATCTATGATAGTATGAAACAGTGCTTCCCGTTTTGGCAAAACGTGATTTTTGAACTCTTTGCTTTCTTGTAACCGTTTGGTCACAAGTTCATAGATTTTTGTCATTTATGTTATATATTCAGAAACTTCACGTTTCTTGTGCAAGAACAGCAGTATACCACACATAAGTGATAGGGTTTTGTAACGCTGTGAAAATGTTGTGCCGTTACGTTATGTCCACCATAGAAGCATAAGCAGAGACCAAAATACAAAACTAGGATGTGATGAGGGAAATTTGGAAAAAGAACGGCCATTGTCCAAAACCGGCCTCTTATAATATCAGGCGTTCGTATGCTACGATGCATTTTAATTAGCTAAGCGCAGTGGTTGGTGTTTTTGAACCAGAACATCCCCTCCGGCCCCTAGCAGCAGCTACATTTAGTGGTGCAATTTCCAATTATGGGATCACATGAAAGTTATGTGAAATTCACATGGATATTTTCCATTGGCTATGTGATTTATTTTATGAGTGTAGTGTGCGATAGGGAAATTTAACGTTCAGGACCTCTCTGGTTTGGACCTTAAAAAGGTCGTCCGTCAGCACACGGCCGGCTCGCAAAACTGGAAACGGTTTCCGAGCCTAATTATCAAGGACCAACACCATTCTCTGGCCAAACGAAGGTCATAATCGCAAAGGAGTTTTCCCTTCTCGGCTTGACCAAGGTGACCTTACCACGGTCGGCTGATCGTGCCAACGAAGAAAGACGCCTGACATCCTACCGTTCAGCAAGGCCCGCTGGCCTGTCAAATGCTCGCTTCGCCAATCCGACGAGAGTTCCGGCCGCACAGTAGGACAGGTGTCGCTGTGTCGGCCATCCCGATTCACCATCAACGGCAGCAGCGGTATGTACCGGTACAGTGAGCAACGAGATTAGGCTACACAACACATATGTGTGTGTTTGTGTATGTGTATATTCCGTCTAACCCACTGACCGACAGTGTTATTATGGAAGAACTGTCCCTACAATGTCTCATTTATGGTCATTGTAGACAGCTTTAGTCCGGGAGTTAGACGGTGATAGCCCTATTGCAGATCCAGCAGCCCATTTCAGAATGTCTGGAGAGTCATGCCCACTCCGAGGTTACTTTCACTCACAATAAGCCCCGCACGTATGCATCACCGTTATCAAATGGATATTGGTGATACATACACGCTTCCAGGTTCGAAAATATTCTTTTCAACCCTGGCATGTATTTAGTTTAATTTGGATATTTAATTTGTAAAAAAATATTTGGACAGCTGTCACCATATTCTGCGCTTCCGCCGCCTTTAATTGCTTCTTTTGGAATCCCTTGGACTTTTGCTCTAACGCTTCGTATTTCAATCCGTGCTTCACCGGAAATTTCCTTCCGTAGATCGTCCTTGATTGGTTCTAACATGATTCCGCCTTTTCCTTGTTTTCCTAGGGAGATAAATCCGCACTTATTTCCGTTTCTGGTTCGATGTTGACTCCTTCCTCGCTTGTTGGTGTGGTCGGTTTCATGTCCACTATCTGTCATTGAATTGCCATGGTGATCTGGGACGAAGCTAACGCCCAAAGTCGCTGGTCTACCGAGCGCTGCGTGTGCGAAAAGACAATGAAAGATATACGAAAGGGATCAGTTTCAATAAGTGACAGTTTCATCAGATTCCCCAACTAACCATACTCAAGCATAGTAAGAATATAAAGGGCGAACACGAAATTATTGCGACACCGAAAATGTCATGCCAATTTTCTTATAATGTTTAGAATCAAACCAAAATTTTAGGGTAGTTTTATACATATATTTACTTCAAAAATCAAAAGAAAAGTTAATCGATGGAGCCTTGAGTGTAAAATTGAACGCATTTTCGCTTGATGCCCTCTATCAAAGTCTTTACAGTGTCATCCGGTACCAGTTTCTCAGTTTTTTTTTCCATTTTCTTAAAATGTCCTTCTCGTCTTTGACTGTCTTCTTGCTCTTCCGAAGTTCCCGCTTCATTATTGCCCAGTACTGCTTCACCGGGCGCAGCTCCGGACAGTTTGGCGGATTCATGTCCTTTGGAACAAAATGGACAGAATTGGCCTCATACCACTCCAGGACACTTTTAGAATAGTGGCATGATGCCAAATCTGGCCAAAATAGCGGAGCTTCGTCGTGCTGCTGCAAGAACGGCAAAAGGCGCTTCTCGAGGCACTCAGATTTGTAGATCTCGCCATTTACTGTGCTCTTTGTCACGAAAGGCTCACTCCTCAGTCCGCAAGAGCAGATGGCCTGCCAAATGAGATATTTGGAGGCGAACTTCGACATTTTCTTCTTCTTAAATTTGTCGTCAACATCGAACTTGCTCTTGCCGGTGAAAAACTCCAACCCCGGAATTTGCTTAAAATCGGCTTTTATATACGTTTCGTCGTCCATCACACAGCAGCCATATTTTGTCAGCATCTTCTCGTAGAGCTTCCGTGCCCGAGTTTTAGCCGTCGATTTTTGCCGCTCAACGCGGTTTGGGAAGTTCTGTACCTTGTATGTATGTAGTCCAGCTCTCTTCTTTGCATTCTGGACGTAGCTCTGCGACATGCCGATCTTTTTAGCCAAATCACGGCTTGAGACGTTGGGATTTGCTTTAATCATCCGCTTCACCTTTCCCTCCATCTTTTTGTTCTCCGGTCCTGGTTTTCTTCCAGCTCCTTTGCCGTGGTCCAACGTCAACCGCTCCTGGAACCGCTTCAACACTCTGGAGACGGTTGAATGGTGAATGTTCAACATTTTTCCCAACTGCCGGTGCGACAGGTCAGGAAATTCCAGGTGTTTGGAAAGAATTTGTTCTCTCAACTCGCGTTGGTTCACCTCTATTTTCGTTGAATCGAAAAACACGACTTCGAGTTTGACAGCATGTACACAATACACATCAATGAGAAAGTGTGCAAAATTTGGTTGATTTTTACCCAATGGTAAAAAAGTTATGCCCTGTTGAATGTGTCGCAATAATTTCGTGTTCGCCGTTTACAAGCTATATTGCGACTAAATATATGGTTACTTGGGTACTCATATGGCCGTCAGAATGGTTCATCGGTTGCGAAGTGAAGTATTTCTGAAAGTGATGCGTTATATTTCTCAATGTTTTGATTTTATCCTAACGTTACCTCAATGTTATATCAGAGACAAACAGAAACACCACATTGAACAATTATCATTGTAAACCATACCGCCATCTATTGTATACACTATGATGGGCAATACACTCAACTGTAGTGTGGCTGTAGCATAGAGGTAACTCGAAGACTAGAAGGTCCCGAAATAATGTGCTCAACTTTTTGGCTCAGCTCTGGTACTCTCTTCGGTCCCAAGCTAATCGATTCACCCCTCGAAACATAGGAAAAACCAATAACCCCTCATTTTATCTGTCAAACTTTCATAGCGAATCAAAACAAACATTGCGTAGTACTAGAATTTCGATTAGAATAGGGTACGTTAATCGTTTGCTTGGGACCAATAGGCTACTAAAGTGGTGAGCCAATTTAAAATCGTTAGTTTCGTATTGATTGTTGGTAGAACCCCGCTAATCTGCACGCCATAAAACTAAAATTTCTGAAAGGTCATTCAGCATATGGACTGGAGTAAAGCGAAATGGAACGCATGCATGATCAAAACAAACCAGCAAATAGGGTTAACAGAAACACGCCTTTCTGGTGCTCATAACCCCATCCAAATTAAAAATGAATCACGTTAATACTTATGAAGTGTCAGATTAGCGGAGGTCCACGGCAGTTGATAATATAGCGCTTGCATATAATGATTCCATTATGCAATAACACGACATGCCTGCGGTAATGTTAATAAGCAGATCCAGGGCTTTCAGATGGTGGTCAGATTAATGCGGGGTTCTCGTACTTGATGGTACTAGTGAGTATTAAATATTCAAAATTATTCTACATTTATCACGCCATATCTTCAGATCTTCATCACATGGAAAATAGGTGTCTATAGCAAAGTTGTTCAGGAGAAATAGGGCTTCCGAATGATAATCCGATTAGTTTTGAATTTTCTCAGTAGGTGGCACAAGAGAACATACAATTAACTACTTCATTCGAGCAGATAAAATGACGTTTACTACCACTCGAACTTTGAAATGAAACATTATTTAGAGATTTTTTCTTCCAGAACCTCGAGAAAAGTAGCCCACATTTGTGCGTTTCACAAAAAAAAATAGAAATTAGTTGGTCCAGTTTTGTGAAATCGCTGGTAGAAAGTCACGCCAAAACTGCTTGACAAAGTGGTCAATTCAGTGTCAACATTTCAAAGGGGCCTAATTGCATTTGTAAACAATGGCTTTAGCCATCGTTTCCTCGTGAATGAACGCTCACTCATGAAAATTTATAATACAGGCATAACATTTGATAACGGCACAAAAGCATTTGTAAACAAACTTTCTAAGGCCCTTTACACGCGAACCAAAGTACGCTCACGCAAACCAACAACACCATCGGGTAGGGGCAACTATCACCTTTCCGAAAGTGGCATTGGTTTGCGTGGGCGTACTTTTGGTTCGCGTTTAATAGGCCTTAGAAAGTTTGTTTACAAATGCTTTTGTGCCGTTATCAAATGTTATGCCTGAATACTAGCAGGTATAGGAATGTTTCCTCAACCAGCTAGCAGTGTTGATTTGGAGGGGTGAGCTTTTATTTGAGAGAAATCGACAACTAAAGCCATTGTTTACAAAAGCATTTACGCTTCTTTGAAATGTTGGCACTGAATTTTAGTATATTTAAATTATCTCGAGATTCTCATCGTCTACATGAACGGTATCTCCAGCAAAGTTATTCAGAAAGCAAAGGGCTTCCAGATGGAGATCCGGATAGTTTGGAGTTCTCTCAGCAGGCGCTGGAGAACATACAATTTTAGTATATACAACCCTTAACTGACCGGGATGGATATTGATGAAAAAAAAAAAAACATAACTCACTGTCGTGAAGTTTCCGCAACATTTCACTCAGTCACAGTGTTCTTCCGTCAATGTCTCTTGAATCTCTTTGAACGTTGAACATCTTACTGTTGTACCTTTCGTTTCCTCGCATGTTTCGAAACAATGACTTTTTAAAAGTACTGCGCACCCGAGTTAATAAGGAAGTCGCAAATCATTCCGGCCACCTCAGCCATGTTACACCCATCCTCAAGAGGGGATGTTATTGTAGAGATTGAAGCAATTAAGTTATCACACATTGATACCTGTGAATATAATGAAAGGATATGCAACGTGTATCATACTTTTTATAATAGTAATATATGAATTTGTAGAGCTTGGTAATAGGAAGAGGAGAATAGAAATAATGGCTTAATGGTAGTACCAACAATCAATACGAAACTAACGATTTTAAATTGGCTCACCACTTTAGTAGCCTATTGGTCCCAAGCAAACGATTAACGTACCCTATTCTAGTTGAAATTCTATTACTACACTATGTTTGTTTTGATTCGCTATGAAAGTTTGACAGATAACATCAGGGGTGTGTGGATTCATGCAGAACATGCAGGGGTGAGTGAAATAGCTTGGGACTGCTTGGGACCGTTGTTCTGGTACTGAGTGAGCCAAAAATAATAATGATTTTCTTCGGGACCCAGTGGTCTTAGAGTTACCTCTATGGTAGTACCGCGAATTTATTTGTTATATTCAAAACTAACTATCCATACGCTTTATTGCAAAACAAAAATAAAAATCATTGGGCACTCACGGAGTTTTGATTACTGTCCAGTTCTGCTTCCTCGATGATAGCAATCCGTTTTGGTGGTGGTCCGGAGAATGTGGCATCCTGCTTTGGACGTTTTATTCCAACTGTGGGTTCAATTTTTGTCTGCGATGATCGGCACGCTCTTTGTATATGTGACCCAGCCGGCCACAGTTCCTGCACACTTTGTCTGCTGCGAAGCACTTATCAGCACGATGGTAGACACTGTGACACCTCCAGCATCTGATTCCGCTGGTTCTCGGAGTAGCTCTTCCTCCTGCACGTTGATGATCCATTCCTCGCCTTGGATAGTGTGTTGGTGGTTGTCTACTGTCACCACGAGAAGTAAAACTTCCGGATCGCCTTTCATCCACTCGAAATTCACGACCCGTCCTTGATGGTATATCGGCGCGAATAGGAGCGAGAATCGCTTCAGGTTGCTTGTGGTGTTTTCGTTCATAGTATTCCTCGTTAATGCGGAATGCTTCAAGCTCCCGTACCTTGTCAACTAAGTCTGTGTAAGTTCCTTTTCGGCTTAGCATCTTAAGGGCCACTGACCGCACTTCCTTGTGAGTTGCATGCTCCTCCACGGTGCCGACTATCTCCTCAACCTCTTTTCCCTCACCAAAATTAAAAAGTCAAGCAGTTCCTGCTACTCTCGACACGAAGGTCAGGTCCGACATTCCGTCTTTCTGTGTCATTAGGGCTAATTTACGCCGCTGAAGCATGATATCCGAGCCAGACGCAAAATAACATTTCAACCGGTACATTGCATTTGCGAAAGGATGTGATTCGACAGCAGGAGCATCATTTGTTGATTTCGTATTTTTAAACACTTCCAAGAGACGCGAGCCAGCTTTCACTTTGATGGCTGACATCTAGAAGCCAGAAATCGATGTGCGACACCATCATGAAATTCAATTTAAGAAGAAGTGTCAAATGGCCTACAAATGGCATCGAATATCGACGTTCAGCATCTACGCGTGGTCCCCGTTCCGAAAATATCCAGATCTTAGGGTATTTGACACTTTTGTGAAACCCGATGGCCGCCATATTGGATTCCAAAATGGCATCGAATATCCAATTTTGACATGTACACGTCTTCATTCTAAAAATATCCATATTGTCGAGGGGGACGACTCTATCTACGATGCAGGAAAAATTGTGTTTTGCTGTGGCTAGCTGTGCACACGCTGAGTAGATAGAAAGAAGATTGATGACGAATCTGAAGATTTCCTTCAAAAAGATGAAGCTCGATGCAAGTAGATGCGAAAATTGAAAGAAGATTTTTCGAAGATTGATTCACTAGTGTGAGATTTTTTGAATATCTAGAATTGAGATTTAGATGTGTCGCCCCCCTCGCATATTGTAGGGTATTTGACACTTTCTGAGCCCTGATGGCCGCTATATTGAATTCCAAAGTGGTATCTGATAGCGATTTTCGGCATCTACGCGTTGTCCCTGTTCTGAAACTAACCATATTGTAGAGTATTTGACACCTTTTTTGAAACCCTATGTACGCCATATTGTAGTCCAACATAGCATCGGATATCGATTTTCGGCAGCCAGGCGTTGTCTCAGTTCCGAAAATACCCATATCTTAGGGTATTTGACACGTTTTAGAAAACCGCCATTTTGGATTCCAAAATAACGTCGAATATCGATTTTCCGCATCTTCATGTCGTCCTCGTTCCGGAAATACCCATATTGTGGGGTATTTGAGATTTTCCCTGACCCCGATGGCCGCCATCTTGGAGTCCGGAATGGCTTCGTTAATTTAATTTTTGTTCAATATAAAATAATACACCTAATCTGGATGCCTTCCCTATCGGCAACCTATATTGTGCGGATACTATCCGGATACTATATTTTTTATATGAATTGAAGTGAAAAACGAAAAAAAAAAACGAAGGAAGCAGTTTTCGGATAATTCATTGCGTCAATTGAAACAAGTCTTTGCTTCAAATGAAATGAACACACTCGACGAACGAAACAAGTGATAGTCCTGTCTTGTTTGAAAAGAGGAATGTTCAAGAAATACGATGACACGAGCAATGATATTGCTCGAAATGAAGCGATTTGCGGAGAGTTCATTTTCTTTTCTTTGTTTCGAAAAAGCAGAACCCTAGTCTACATGAACGGTACCTTCAGCTTTTGATGGAAAAAATAGCATAACTCACGTCTTTTTATGATACTCCTTGCGCTGCGTTGACGTAAATTTGACAGTTAGACAATAGTTTTAGCACAGACAAACAGACATAACACATTGAATATTTCTCACTGTAAAACATCGTCACTAAAACACTACCGCCATCTGTTAAGCACACTGTGGTGGGTAGTACGCTGAATAGATGGCGGTAGTGTGTAAACGTCAAACTCAAGGGAAATGACTATGCGCGCCACAGGTGGCGGTGCTACCAACTACGATACTTTTAAATTGACCGTTAAATGCTTGTTCGATGAACAACTTGCGAGTTATATGTCTGTTTGTCTGTGGTTTTAACTATCACTTTGCCGCAACGCGTCAGATCCGAATCTAATGTGGATCGCCCTTTATGGTGGGGGGAGGGGGGGTTGTCAATATTGTTGTTTTCTGTTTGCTTGCGATATAACCTTATGAATATTCTTTCTAAATAATACATTCTTACGTAATAATGAAAATTTCATTTGTGTGTAGTTTGTAGCAGTAATGTTCTTGATAAATAGTTTGGTAAGATATGCAGATAGGTTCAAAGTAACAGTGATCGATTGTCTTCGTCGACTTTCTCTTTCGTTAGTAACTTGAGCACATAATCGTTTCTTGTTGTGCTTGTCATATTAGATGCTAGATAAAAGCTTATTTTATCGATATGTGTGCTGAAAATGCCTGGGAAATTTTTTACATGGCCATGGGGATACAAAGAGAAAGTCGCCGAAGAGAATCTGTCAATGTTACTTAGGACCTAATGCAATGTTCAGGTTGATTTTCTTCAAAAGCCTTTTTCAACCAGGTACGCTTCAATAGCCAGACATAATTTTCCAACGCTCGCCTTCAATAACTCAGCTTCATGGAAGGCAAACGTTAATCTCATAAAATTTTGATGAGAACCACCGGAGGAGAATCGACTCCCAGCGATTGCCAAAACGCCAAAGTTTTGCATACAGTACTGATTGAAATCGTTGCAATCAACTCCCTCCGGAAAACGAATCCATAAGAAGTATCCTCCGTTCGGTGCAATGAACGAGCACTTTTTAGGCAGCTTGGTGTTCAGCGCCATGCACGCAGCCCTCAAACGATCTGCGTATTTGTCTGCATACAAACGAAGCTGTTGTTGAGCTAATCCCAGTTGGATCATGCTGGTCACGATCCCTCCGGTGTAGTTGTTGGCCGCTCCACCACTCTTCAGGACACCACTGCAGAATAGAGCATTTAAAAAAAAGTTTTTTTTACAGGCATACAGACATATCACTTGCATGTTTTTCATCGAACACGCGTTTAACAGTCAATTTAAATTTTTCTCAGTTGGTAGTACCAACCGGTGGAAACTAATGATTTTAAATTGGCTCACTACTTGACTAGCCTATTGATCCCAAGCAAATCGATTAATATACCCCATTCTAGTCGAAATTCTTGTACTACAATATGTTTGTTTTGATTCACTATGAAAGTTTGACAGATAAAATTAGGGGTTCGTTGATTTTCCTATGTTTCGAGAGGTGCATCGATTAGCTTGGGACCGAAGGGAGTACCAGCTAAGACCAGAAGGTCCCAAAGAAACGTGCTCATCGTGCTCTGGTACTATCTTCGGTCCCAAGCTAATCGATGCACCCCTAGAAACATAGGAAAATCAATTTTATCTGTCAAACTTTCATTGCGAATCAAAACAAACATAGTGTAGTACTAGAATTTCGCCTAGAATGGGGTACACTTAAAGATGTACTTGGGACCAATAGGCTAGTCAAGTAGTGAGCCAATTTAAAATCGTTAGTTTCCACCGGTTGGATTTACTGTGAAACATATTCAATGTGACATGTCTATTTGGTTGTGATTTTCGGATTCCAAAAATGTAAAGTCGCTTACCTGTTGCGAAGCACTTCCATGCACCGCGGCGGACATTCCATCCAACCAAGTCGGATTCCTGGTGAAAGAATCTTCGAGAACGATCCATTGGAAATAACATTGCCCTTCCAGCCATCGCTCTCGATGTCATCAATATCGTATGCAAATAGACGCTTCGGAGGTGTTAGGTGTTGTTTACCGGTGGAATTGGCCTCATCAGACGAGTAGTAAAGCAGATTGTACACATCGTCACAGGCTATCAAAATTTCGCTCGATCTGGCCAATCTTATCAGTTGTTTATTAATTTCTGGGCATAAAAAATATGGAACCTAGCTAATTATGCGATAAGATTAGGGCATTTATTTTAGTTACCATCCGAAAATAAAATCCCAGTTGGATTGTGGAACGTTGGAATCGTATAGTAGACTCCCCAGAATATTTTGTTGCCAGATAGTTTGAACTTGTGTTGATTGATCAATGTAGACAGAACGCCTATATCCGGACCATCTTCTCTCAAAGGAACTGAAATATCATGAAGCATTTGCATTCGTGAAGTGGGTTATCATTTTTCATTTTTCATTGATTTTTTTTCTATCTCGAACCTGTAACAATTTTCATCGTATCAAACTGACGAAAAGTTTCCAGAGCTATCATGTAGGTGACTTCGTCTACGAAGATAACGCCAGCCAAATCGATTAGAGTCGACAGAATCAGGTGGAGTCCATGTGTTGCTCCGGACGTTTGCACTAGATCTGACCTATGCATTTTCTTGAAAACTCAACGAACTGGGAGGTTTTAAACATGCATGTTATAGCACTTACTTGTTAACATCGGACTGATAGCCTTTGGATAGGAATTCAGCTAAGGTTTGACGAAACTCGGTGGTTCCAATCGTAGGTCCATATTGAAATAGGTACGAATTGTTTTCCAATTCAAATTTCTGTAATAGAAGGGTTTATATTTAAATTTAAATCTACTTTTTTGTATATAAATGAAAATTTATGTTGCATTACGGTACATCGTTTTGAAGGAAATCTTATAAATTATCTTTAAATTTCTATCTACTCATCGTCTGCGAAACCGAACTTTTTGTCAGAGCGAACCTCAACCTGAGCTAGGTTTTAAAAACAAACGAGCAAACTGACGTTTGTCAGAAAACGAGCAGACCCAATCCTGATACCCGATCCAGGTTGGAACTGAATAATAAACGAATTCGCTATAAATTAGTTTCGCTTTCAGAGCAGAAAACAATATTTGAGATGTTTTAAGCCGTTTGCTGTGAAAAAATAACGTAAAAAGTATACTAATAAAAAGTTCAAAAATTTGATCAAAAGTTCTTTTTCTACGATTTTTGTTCTTGATCTACCATTTTAAAAATATAAATTGATATATTTTAGTTTTTAACACTTCTTTGAAATTTTTACTCAAAAATACTGAAACATATTCCGTGTTTATATTTCACATAAAGCAAATATTATAAAGCGGTGTGAGATGGCATCCGGTGCATCGACTGCTGACTATAGTGGCTATCATAGTTTCCACATTTGTCCATGCGTTAAGGACGAGGAAACGCAATTGAACGTGGCTCTTAAGAAAAACTTCTCGATCGATTTCTTGGGAATCTCCGGATCATCTAAACCGTTACTCTCAAAGGACGAGGAACGAGCGATGCAGATCCTATCATCCGAAACGCGTTTCACTGGAGAGCGCTACGAAACCGGATTATTGTGGCGGTACGATCAAGTGCAGTTGCCAAACAATAAGTCAATGGCGCTGAAGCGGTTGGACTGTCTGCAGAAGCGGATGAAGCGAGACCTCGAGCTGGGTGCGGCAGTGCGAACGAAGATGGCTGAATATGAAGAGAAGGGCTACATTCGGCGGCTTTCAACGGCGGAGAAATCGCAGAAGCATTCGAATGACTGGTACTTGCCAATTTTCCCGGTAATCAACCCGAACAAACCAGGAAAGATACGTATCGTGTTCGATGCGGCAGCGAGAGTTAACGGTGTCTCTTTGAACTCATTTCTCCTTACGGGACCAGATCAGTTGGTGTCGTTGCTTAGCGTTCTCTTCAAGTTCCGAGAATTCCGCGTCGCAGTTGTGGGAGACATCCGAGAAATGTTCTTTCAAGTCAGGATGAAAAAGCAAGACCAACGAAGCCAGATGATATTGTGGATCAGCGGAGATCCTGATGAAGAACCGGAGGTGTACGTGCTGCAAGTAATGACGTTCGGTGCAGCATGTTCACCGAGTTGCGCGCACTACGTTAAGAACCAGAATGCGGACAGATTCGTGGAAGATTATCCAAGGGCAGTCGAGTGCATCAAACACGAACACTATGTCGATGACATGTTGGCCAGCGTTGAGACTGAAGAGGAAGCGGTGAAATTAGCGAGCGAAGTCCGATCCATTCACTCACAGGGTGGCTTCGAAATACGTAACTGGTTGTCGAATTCATCAGCAGTCGTCAAGCGTTTACACGAAACCAGTACCACAGAGAAGGGCATGAGCCTTTGTGCGGACATGGCAACAGAAAAGGTGCTAGTAATGTGGTGGGATACTGCCACCGATTCGTTTACGTTCCGAATGTCACCGAAGCACAACGTGGAGTTGCTTTCCGGAAGCAGGATGCCTACCAAACGAGAAGTCCTGCGAATGTTGCTGGCGATTTACGATCCTATGGGACTCATCTCCAATTTCCTCATCTACTTGAAGATCCTACTGCAGGAAATCTGGCGTGCCGGATGCGGCTGGGATGATGAAATCAACGGGAAGCTAGCCGAAAGATGGATAACCTAGGTAGAAGCGTTGCCGAACGTCCGACAAGTGAGCGTACCTCGCTGTTACCGCAATGCGACGTCTGCTGAATCTGCAAATACCGTGGAATTGCATATTTTCTGCGATGCGAGCGAAAACGGAATGGCTGCCGTGGCTTACTTCAGGTTCGAAGAAAAAGGAAATACGGAGTGCGTGCTGGTTGGCTCAAAAACAAAGGTGGCCCCTTTGAAATTCCTCTCGATCCCGTGACTTGAATTGCAAGCGGCCGTAATAGGCGCTCGTCTAGCTGAATGTATCACTAACTCACACCGAATGAAAATATCGCGGCGGGTTTTCTGGACCGACTCCAGGGATGTGGTATGTTGGCTCCGTTCTGATCACCGACGCTACAGCCAATGTGTGGCATTCAGGATCAGCGAGCTACTAGATACAACACAAGTAAACGAGTGGAGATGGATTCCGACTAGAAAGAACGTAGCTGACGATGGGACGAAGTGGGCACGGTTGCCAGACTTTCAGCCAAACAGTCGTTGGTTCCGTGGTCCCGATTTTTTGTGGGAGCCTGAAAGTGAATGGCCTGGCGATGGCGGAGATCAAGGATCAACCACGGAAGAAATCCGTCTCAGCGTTCTTCATCATACAATTACCGAACCTTTGTTATATTTTGAACGCTTCTCCAAATGGAAACGGCTATTTTATGACAGTTGCATACGTTCATCGCTTTGTGGTGAATCTTCGTAAGCATATCAATAGAACGGCCACAGAGCTTGGTCCGCTAACGCAGGAGGAGTTGAATCGTGCCGAGAGCATCATCTACCGACAAGTTCAACAACAAGCTTACCCGGACGAAATCCAACTGATCTGCAGCAATAACCCAGAGGTGCAGCCATGGGAGCGTACCTTGCCGAAGACTAGCCCGCTATATAAGCTCAGCCCAGTCATCGATGAGCACGGTGTTCTACGGATGCGTGGACGTATCGATGCTTGCGAGTATGTAGATGAATCTACCAAGAATCCGATCCTTCTGCCCAGGCGCAACTACGTATCCGATCTAGTGCTCGCCGACTACCACGCTAGATATCATCACCAGAATCACCACACTGCGCTGAACCAGATTCGACTAAAGTACAACATTCCCCGTCTCCGTACAGAGTTCGAACGAGTTCGCAGAAATTGTCAGCGTTGTAAAATTCGGCAAGCCATTCTCTCCTTGTACGTCAAGCAGTACAGTTCGGTCTTTGCTCGCTCTGTCGAGTTGTTCTAAAGTTTCTAGTTTGTTCCAAATATTCGCAGTTTAATCGCGTCGTCAGTAGTGTCGGTCGCTTCGTGTGATGGGAAGACAGCGCTCCCGGAGCAGGCTCCGAGAGAAAATGGAGAAGAAGAACAGCGGTGAGGGTAGCTTGAGTGTACCTATTTCGAATAGGTACGCTACTCTTCCCACCGATGTAGGGAATCCCACCTCAGCCACGGTGAAGCGGTCTAAGAAGAGGAAGAAAAATCAAGGCCAGTCCGATGGTGCGAGTGGACGGGACGATGCCACCGCGACGAACGTCAGCGTCATTGGTGATTTCGGCGATGCCGTCGACAACGAAACTGCTGCCAGCCCGAGTGCAGCAAAAATGAAGCTTCCTCCACTGGTGGTGAAGCAAGTCCCACTCAACACGCTGATTGGCGATCTTTCATCGCTGGGCGTTGCAGCTGAGTTTAAGCTCGGCAGGATCGGCACCAAGGTGATGCTCCGAACCAAAGCGGAGTACGAAGTGGCCGTGAAATATCTGAAGGATACCAAGGCGGAATTCTTCACGCACGACATCCCCGGTGAGAAGCCCTTCAAGGTAGTCATCAGGGGTCTACCAAACTTCGACCCCAAGATGGTCGAAGCCGAAATCAACCGGTACAAGCTAGCCCCAATCGCTGTCTTCAGAATGACAAGGAGAGATGAAAACGTGAAGACGTACCCGGGTTGTCTTTTCCTGGTGCACTTCCAGAAAGGGACGGTGACGCTCAATGCGCTACAAGCCATCCGATCGATCTACTCCATCATCGTACGGTGGGAGCCATACCGTGGTGGTCATCGTGACGTAACGCAGTGTCAGAGGTGCCTCAATTTTGGACACGGTACCCGCAACTGCAACATCAAGCCACGCTGCAGCAACTGCGCTCAAGAACACGCCACTTCCAACTGCCCTGCGGATGGAGCCGTGGCGATAAAATGCGCTAACTGTGGTGGTGCACATCAAGGCTCTGACAGACAGTGCTCCAAACGCGAGGACTTCAAACGCATCCGAAAGCTGGCGTCAAGCAACAATCAACCAGGACGCAAGAAGGACAAAACCCCATCATTCAGGACGGAGGATTTTCCGCCTCTTCGTGCTCCCCAGCAAAGGCAAGCGAATTCGCGGGTGCAACCCGCCCCTCCTCAAGAAGCTTCCGGTGATTCTGCTGGCCAAAGCTCTCCATCCCCCCCTGGATTCTGGAGACAACCAACAGGACAAAACAACAACCCCGATCTGTTCTCAGCGGATGAACTGATGGAAATTTTCGTCAACATGTCCGGTGCTCTTCGTAAGTGCCGCAATAAGCCCGAACAGATCCAAGTGCTCGGTAAGTTCATCATCCAGTATGGCGTCTAAACCGCTAACTATCGTCACCTGGAATGCTTGCTCTGTAAGAGCAAAAAAGATTGAGCTTGCCGACTTCCTCCGCAAGCACAGCATCGACGTGGGCCTTCTAACCGAGACCCATCTAAAGTCCGGCGACAGCTTCTGGTTGCCTGACCACAACATTATCCGGCTTGATCGCACCAGCTCCAGGGGGGGTGGTGTTGCGGTCGTCGTCAAGAAAGGAATAAAATACCACACTCTGTCCCATATCCGCACCTCTATCATCGAGGCCCTTGGTGTGGAGGTGGAGTCGTCGACTGGATACGTCCAGTTCATCGCCGTCTACTGCCCTCGACAGTGTGCCGCCAGCAGTGGACTAGCGGCTAAATTCAAGAAGGACCTGTCCACCATCACCCGTAACGGTTCCCGCTTCGTCGTTGGAGGAGATCTGAATGCTCGCCATGAGGCCTGGCGGAACTACCAGCAGAACCAGAACGGTCGTCTCCTGTTCGACCACTCACAGCATGGGCTGTACTCCGTTTGGTTTTCGGATGAACCA